TGATTTCAATGTAACTATGCAGAAATATTTTGGACCATAGGTGGATGGGAATGTTTGGAAATATTGGAAATTTTGGTTACCTTAATAACTGGGTCATTATATATTTTTGTGTAGTGGCCCATAGCTTTTTTAATATAAAGACTTATGTATAGGAAGATTAGGCTTAACAAAGGAATGATACATGTCTAGGGAAATTCAAGATCATATTTTAAAGATTGAGATCACTGGCACTAAAACTAAAACAATTAATGTCTAAACTCTTTGCTTCTAAATCATTGTTATCCTTAGGATGTATATATAGACAAGGTATAGGACAGTGGGGGATGCCTGGGACTATGTATATATAGACAAGGTATAGGACAGTGGGGGATGCCTGGGACTATGTATATATAGACAAGGTATAGGACAGTGGGGGATGCCTGGAACTATGTATATATAGATAAGGTATAGGACAGTGGGGGATGCCTGGGACTATGTATATATAGACAAGGTATAGGACAGTGGGGGATGCCTGGAACTAAGTATATATAGACAAGGTATAGGACAGTGGGGGATGCCTGGGACTATGTATATATAGACAAGGTATAGGACAGTGGGGGATGCCTGGGACTATGTATATATAGACAAGGTGTAGGACAGTGGGGGATGCCTGGGACTATGTATATATAGACAAGGTATAGGACAGTGGGGGATGCCTGGGACTATGTATATAGAGACAAGGTATAGGACAGCAAGGGATGCCTGGGACTATGTATATATAGACAAGGTATAGGACAGTGGGGGACATCTGGGACTATGTATAGACAAGAGAAAATAAATGGGGGATGCCTGGGACTTTGTATATATAGACAAGTTATAGGACAGTGGGAGATGTCAGGGACTATGTATATATAGACATGGTGTAGGACAATGTGGGATGCTTGGGACTATGTATATATAGACAAGGTATAGGACAGTGGGGGATGCCTGGGACTATGTATATATAGACAAGGTATAGGACAGTGGGGGATGCCTGGGACTATGTATATATAGACAAGTTATAGAACAGTGGGGGATGCCTGGGACTATGTATATATAGACAAAGTATAGGACAGTGGGGGATGCTTGGGACTATGTATATATAGACAAGTTATAGAACAGTGGGGGATACCCACACACAGACAAAATGCCTTATTACTCAGTATTGTCACATCAATACACCATGCTGAGATGACAATGCAGAAAATGAGATAAAGTGAGTAAGCATGGACAGCATCGTAATGTTGTCAAATTACCATTGAAAGCTATGTCTCAATGACAGTTATGAGGATGAGTGGAACAGTGGGGAATTGGCGGAAGCACACTCGAATTAAGGGTGATTAAACAATGTGACAAACTGTTATGACAAACCTAATCAACCATGTGACGCTCCAATCCAATAGGTTTAGCACAGCTGGTTAACGCTGCAGCGTCTCCGATAGTCCACTTCGTCTTAGACTCTCTTTTTTTTTAGAGTGGCTAAAACACTTACGCATCTTGACATGGGAATAATTATTGGTTGTAGAAGGAATACAGGACAACTTGTTTGTTTGTTGTGGCCAGACAGGTCATCAGTCACTTACAACCTCAAATATCTGTATTGGTCAGTTGGTCAGTGTTGTGTATGATATTGTTGTGTCCTAAGTCCGTTCAATAAACAAGATTCAGCAGTAAGAAAGAATATTTACACGTGCCTGGTGGCAATAAGTGTATCCTTTTGTTTTTGAACCATTTTCATTTCTGTTGTACAGGTATATATATAATCTTAATTTGTTATTAGAAATTTTTTTTTTAAAAATTGTTAAATAAAATGAAAAAAATTATACCAACGATAACTAAGAAACTGGCAATTTATGATTAACAGTGATTATAGCTGATAAGCCAATGTACATTATTTAAATTTTCATTTGTTGTAATAAATGAAGGTCACAGAAGAGCTTAGTCTCTAGACTTTTAAATATCAACATCCCTGTTCGTCTATTTTTTACTTACCTGTGTCTGATATTGTCATTGTGCTTTTCCCCTGTTGAACAGGCTGCAGTTTCGGTGAGGTGGAACTAACATTAGATTTTTGTAGCATGGTATCTGGTTTTATGTCTATATTTATTTATTAAGTTTCAATAATAAGTTATTGTTTAACAATTATATATAGATATTAAGGATTATAACGTAATGGTATAGATTTTAAAATATTTTAAGCTGTATCTGTTGTACATAAACAAGCTCAGAAACAATGATGATGAATGCTGTAGACTACAAAATGCACTGTATATATACTATGTCTATGTCACCATCTTGTAAATCACTGGCTTTTTATTTATAAGTATATATAAAAGTTGGAAATGATTACACATTAATGAACTAACAAAAAAAAATTGAAATAAAATTTTGAAATCAGCACGTAATGAAGTTTAACGAACAAAAAAAATTACTTCATATTGCATGTAGTGCATATTGAAATCTAGCATAACGAATGCTGAACTGAACACAGATTACAGTGCAGAACATAGAGATACAAACAAAAGTACACGTTTAATGTATATAGGATAGCTTGTAGATAATTTCATTAGACAATATTTATCCTTTTTTTTTTAATTATTTTGAAATAAATCATAACTTCATTTATAGTGCATGTAGTTAAATATGATTATGCATCATTATAAAAGTGAACCTTATGAATGCATTTTTCAGTACAGATTCAATGTAATGGATCATTTAATTATTCAGACAATTTAATTAGGTAACGGTAAAAGTTAAAAATACTTGTATAAGAAACAAACTTGATCAAAATACTTGTATATGAACATGGAACAGGATGCTACTCATCACTTTGGTTGTGGTCAGTTTCTGGGAAAGGTCAAGTTTTCAGATGCTGGTGATTCATTCAGGTGTTTTCATAATCTACTGATACAACTTTGTAACAATCCACTTGAATTTCACCTCATTCAGTTTTGAGAAGACTGTGATACAATTGTTTTCATATTTGTATACTTTATACAGGGAAATTTTCGCCACAGTATAACTTACCCCCTTTTGTCAATTACATGAAAAAAATGGTTGCTAAGGTTTTAAGTTAAAGTTGAATGTTATTCATGTGATTTTTACTGTAAATTTAACACATGACAAAGTCAAAAAGGAAGAGAACTAGCTGTCAAAGAGAATATTTTCTAGTATATATAGTGCCTGGTATAAACAAATGCAGGCCATGCACAATAATGGTATTTTAATATGATATAAAATATTCCAATATTTCATGGTATATCTATTCTGTTGTAATTTGATTTTTATATTTTTACTCATGTTAAAAATTTATCTTTTCATTAAATATTGATGCTGCTATGTTGGAAAATGTTTAGGATTTTGATTTGATTTGATTTGACCTGTACACATGTTCTGATCCAAATGCATTTTAGCGTTTCCATATCATTTCAGATGTACACAACTACTGTAGTATTTCAGACCACACTACGTTAGCATTTCCGTTCCATTACGAAACAATTTTTAAAATGATGAGTCGAAAATTTTAAAAATTTTCATGAAATGAAAATATTGTCTAACTTGTATGAATTATTCCAGACAAAAGATTTATTTCAATATTACAATTTAATTTTATATAGCTTCAAATCCATAAGATGACATTTATCTAAAATTCGTAATCACATTGACTCAATATTACTACCGAATCTGCTGTGTATCACATCTGTTAATATTGTTGTTTCTGGTGTAACATGGTCAAAGCACCCGAAATACAAACTTAGTCATAATAGTTTTTGCGACTAATATGTTACAATAAATTTACATTTTGACATTTATACAAGTTACTCTGTTTTACATGTATTATCTAAGAAAAGCTATTTTGATCAACACAGAACTGATTCAGTAAGTTTTAACATAAGTCTAATTATTTTCTTCAAAATCAAAGTACATACCACTATTTTATAAGACTTTTTATGTAAACTGAGTTATCTATTCAGTAACAATTAAGCATTTTCAAAGTGTCATCTGTGGCATTTCCGTCACACTTTCATACCGTTTGCATTGTATGCCATAGCATTTCCATAGGACTTCCATAGTGAGACCATAGCATTATTGTACCATTACCATAGCGCTCCATAGCGTTTCTATTCAAGATGGAACAGAAAGACTGTACGGGTCTGTACAACCAGCAATGTACTTTTACTATACTGTATGGGTCTGTACAACCAGCAATGTACTTTTACTATACTGTATGGGTCTGTACAACTAGCAATGTACTTTTACTATACTGTACGGGTCTGTACAACTAGCAATGTACTTTTACTATACTGTATGGGTCTGTACAACTAGCAATGTACTTTTACTATACTGTATGGGTCTGTACAACCAGCAATGTACTTTTACTATACTGTACGGGTCTGTACAACTAGCAATGTACTTTTACTATACTGTATGGGTCTGTACAACTAGCAATGTACTTTTACTATACTGTATGTACAACTAGGTACTTTTACTATACTGTACAACTAGCAATGTACTTTTACTATACTGTATGGGTAGCAATGTACTTTTACTATACAACCTAGCAATGTACTTTTACTATACTGTATGGGTCTAGCAATGTACTTTTACTATACTGTACTGTACAACTAGCAAGCAATGTACTTTACTTTTACTATACTGTATGGGTCTGTACAACTAGCAATGTACTTTTACTATACTGTATGGGTCTGTACAACTAGCAATGTACTTTTACTATACTGTATGGGTCTGTACAACTAGCAATGTACTTTTACTATACTGTATGGGTCTGTACAACTAGCAATGTACTTTTACTATACTGTATGGGTCTGTATAACTAGCAATGTACTTTTACTATACTGTATGGGTCTGTACAACTAGCAATGTACTTTTACTATACTGTATGGGTCTGTACAACTAGCAATGTACTTTTACTATACTGTACGGGTCTGTAGTCTTATAATCATCTTCTTTAATGTTTTCAGCTGAAGAGTTTTGAAAATCGAGAGAAGACAAAAAGTGAGCTTCATCACAGTACAGTGGAGAATCTTCAGCAAAAGAACAGTGGTAAGTTTTTTAATCAAGTACACCTGGAATAATAGTTTATTACAAATGACTGGATGGCTGACGTCCTTCTCACAATATCATCTTACACAATTTGGAAATATGCCAATGAAATCAGTTACTTGTAAATAATATTCTCAATCGCGAAGAATGGAAAATGTTGTAACTTAAAATGTTTGGGTTAATTTCACCGAAAGAAATTTAACATTACAGTGAGTATGTGATAAGAATGACTTATAAGTGTACAATAAGCATAAATATACCTGATGTAAGTCAGTATAGTAAGTATGACTGATGTATGTCGGTAGAGTAAGTCTGACTGATGTACGATTACATATTGTACAAAAGTATGACAGATGTATGATTACATATTGTACAAAAGTATGACAGATGTATGATTACATATTGTACAAAAGTATGACAGATGTATGATTACATATTGTACAAAAGTATGACAGATGTATGATTACATATTGTACAAAAGTATGACAGATGTATGATTACATATTGTACAATAAGTCTGACTGATGTATGATTATATATCGTACAAAAGTATGACAGATGTATGATTACATATTGTACAAAAGTATGACAGATGTATGATTACATATTGTACAAAAGTATGACATGTATGATTACATATTGTACAATAAGTCTGACTGATGTATGATTATATATCGTACAAAAGTGTGACAGAGGTATGATTACATATTGTACAGTAAGTCTGACTGATGTATGATTATATATCGTACAAAAGTATGACAGAGGTATGATTACATATTGTACAGTAAGTATGACAGATGTAAGATTAGATATTGTACAATAATTATGACTGATGTACGATAAGACATTGTAAATTAGATATGACTGATGTTAGATTAGATATTGTACAAGTATAATGAAATATTGTGCAAGAAGTAGATGTATGATTAAATATTGTACAATAAATGTGACTGATATTAGTGAGTACAGAAAGTTTGGCTGCTGTAAGAGCAGATACTGTACTTTAAGTATGACTAATCTAGGGGTAGATAATATTATAACTGGTACTTTGTAAGATTGTTTAAGGGAGATAACTCAAGCACAAAACTTTGGAATATAATTCAAAGTAGAGTATTTCCTTAAGCTCTGTAGCACAGGTATGAGGAAAGTTTTACAGTTCTTGGCTCCATATCCAGGAAGATTCTAGGGGTAAAAAACAGTTGGTGCTTGTGATAGGACGGCAGGGACCTATCCATCATGATTCAACACAGATTGGTTGAGGGGACGGGATAGAAACAAATGTTTCTGCAGACGAGTGACAGCAGACGTTCACAGGAGCGGGAAATTTATCATTCTTAATTGAATGAAGTATTGTCAAATAGTCCTAAAATAGCTATAGCGTCATTCATCCTACCGTCTCGCTGGAACGGGACCTGTAAGGTGGGATAAAAACACAGCCCACATTTTAGTGAACGATCTAGCTTTATCTCTCTTCTGTCAAATTGTAATTGTGTGAAGTGAAAGTGTGATGTGTTCAGGTACTTGTTATGTGAAGATAGAAACTGAATTGAAGATGTGTACCCTATTTCTAGATTTTTTATTTTTGGAAAAAGTTTATATAAAAAAATTCAAATTTTGTGTCTGAGTCTATCAATATTGATGAGTAAACATTGTTTTAGCTTTGATTTTTAAGAATTACTTTTAATAGCATGACCTGTTTATAGAATTTCCTTTTATTAGCATTTCCTTGTTAAAGAAAAAAGCAAAACTGTAATTTTCTGTCAAGAAAATTATTGTGTGATTCCTTTTCAAAATGCTACCTGTGTGAACACATTTTCCTGTCAAACAAATGTCGGTGTTGAACTTAAGCACATTTTCTTGTTACAAAATTATTTGTGTGAACAATATATCCTCGTATCTATGTGTACAACACTTTCCAATAAAAAAGCTATTTGTGTGAATATTTCTCTATCAAATAATTATCAATGTGGCACTTACTTGTCAAAAAACTAGATTTATTAAAGGCGTTGCCCTGTCAATCTGTGATTGTATTTGTATGTGTAAATGTTGGAAATGAAATATTGTTTATATCATAAAGACAACATGCTTCTGTTTTCAGAACTACATATTCGTTGTGAAAAGCTGAATGCCGATCTTGATTCAACAAAAAAAACTCTCGCAGATCATGTTGCACAAAAGGCTAACTTGGAAAACAAATCTAAGGTTAGTACATTTTGTCATTTTGTTTGATTTGTTGATTTGTTTGTTGGGTTTGTGGCCCTGTGAATAGCCAGGGTCATTTTGTGGTGTTGTCTCCTTGTAGTGGCTGGTGGCTACCTCGGTGAACACCATGCAGAAGGTCCTTTGCATGGTATCTATGGAACAGTTGGAGTAAAATATGTTGACCAAAGACACAACTACAACAGCATAGAGTGTTTTATTTCAGAGTTCCCTGAGGTTGAAAAGTCTGATACTCAGGGGACTGTTCATGACCACTGGTTTCAAGTTGAAGGGTTATTAACAGTCAACTCGTTCAGTCAAAAAATATCGAAGGAAGTCTTATCTATAGCATCACAACCAACAACAGATCATTGGGTGTAATCTTCCAGTTCACCAAGTTTGTGGTCACAACATAGAAAAACTGCAATCTCTATCCTTTAACTGTATACAAGGGCAATGCAGTGATTTAACCCTTCCAGTCACAGGATTTACCAGATCAATTCAACATCATAATGATGTGATAGAAATCAAGTATAATAAAATCATTTGCTAAAGAAAAAAATGAGCAGTGAAAAGGAAGATGGCTGCACCAGCCTCAGCTTAACGCCAATAAAAATTGAAATATTTTCACTGTGTGTATTTTGGTTAAGGAATTGCAGTTCCATTGATGACACAGATAATAATGAATTACAATTGTATAGTTCAAATTGACAATTATTTTCATACAAATTCCTCAAAAGTAAACATACTACAGGTTGATGAATAACTCAACTTGTGATCTTGATATTTGATTATTTAAACTTGTGGGTATTCAAGTATCCGAGTACTAGTCAGCATTTACTTGTACATTTTTATAGGATGAAAATAAATGATGTATTTATAAAGAAGACTAGAAAACTTGCAGTTAGCAAATCAGACCCTTTATGCCTCTTGTTTGTTCTTTGTTCTTTATTGTATTTGACTAAAGAGAAGGACCACCTCATGGTAATAATACAGACCTCCATTGTCAAGTGCAACAGTGAAAGATCACTCAAACCACAAAATGTTTCTAAAACACATGTATAACCACAGTCCTGTTTTATTGATATAGAGAAACTACATGTGAAGTCTGTGTAGAATATCTAGACAAAGTATCAGAGTTAAACATAACATCTAGACAAAGTATTGGAGTGAAACACAACATCTAGACAAAGTATTGGAGTGAGACACAACATCTAGACAAAGTATCAGAGTTAAACACAACATCTAGACAAAGTATTGGGGTTAAACACAACATCTAGACAAAGTATTGGAGTTAAACACAACATCTAGACAAAGTATTGGAGTTAAACACAACATCTAGACAAAGTATTGGAGTGAGACAAAACATCTAGACAAAGTATTGGAGTGAGACACAACATCTAGACAAAGTATCAGAGTTAAACACAACATCTAGACAAAGTATCAGAGTTAAACACAACATCTAGACAAAGTATTGGAGTGAAACACAACATCTAGACAAAGTATCAGAGTTAAACACAACATCTAGACAAAGTATCAGAGTTAAACACAACGTCTAGACAAAGTATTGGAGTGAAACACAACATCTAGACAAAGTATTGGAGTGAAACAACATCTAGACAAAGTATTGGAGTGAAACACAACATCTAGACAAAGTATTGGAGTGAAACACAACATCTAGACAAAGTATTGGAGTGAAACAACATCTGGACAAAGTATTGGAGTGAAACACAACATCTAGACAAAGTATTGGAGTGAAACACAACATCTAGACAAAGTATTGGAGTGAAACAACATCTGGACAAAGTATTGGAGTGAAACACAACATTTAGCCAAAGTATCAAAATTAAACACAACATGTAGACAAAGTATTAGTTTACCACCACAACATCACAGACATAGAGCTAAATACAAAATAGATAGATGGCTAGGAGGATTGACAGATATACACATAATCTGTAGTAATTGACCAAAAACTGTTGTACCAGCAGATTATGTCTGTAATTGTTAGTAAGTGAATACCTTCATGATAATATCTCTTTGGAGGCACACTGTGCCAGTTGGTAAGTGATTCAGGAACTCACAGATCTTTCTTCAGGATTTTTCATCTTCAGGAATGAACACAATGACTTAAAGAATAAGGTCAGTTTGTCCACTGTTGCCCTACACTGAACTGCACTGGTGTACGTCAAAACATTTGTCATTAGGGCCCCTATGGTATTTTATCTGTCAGGACGTTCAATCATCTAGTGTCTACCACTGATGATGATAAGTTAATATCTTAACCTTAACTAGGCTGAATCCATCTGGGACAGATTCCATCGAAAAAGGCTTCACTCCATCAGGGACAATGATAAACCGTCTAAGACCAATAAACCAAAATTGCCACTCCTTTTGTAAACTTTGTTACTTTGAGAGTTATTTTTCTACAGTATTTGACTCCAGGAGTGAAATAAAAAGATGTCAAATACCTGGTTACAACCTTGACCTTCTCTTAAAATATTGATGGTAATGTTAACATTATCTTTTTGAGGACAACCTTGACCTTATAATTCAGATGACAACCTGGACTTTAAAACTGTAATGACTACTTTTACCTCATATCTTGGATGACGACCTTTACCTGATTTCTCAGGCAATAACCTTCACCTTATTAGGTCATCTGACCTGAAGGCTCAGGATAACCTATAGCCATCACATGTCGTCTGTCATCGTGCACAATAGGGTGTCCTTGACCTACTTTCAAGGTCACAGGGGTCAAATATGTTAAAAGCTTTAAACAACTTCTTCTCAATAACCAATTGGCCCTGGGTGGTGAATTTAGGTACATAGCGTGATGGTATGAATGGGTACAAAGTTTGTTTATATAGATGACCTTGAACCGCTTCCAAGATCACAGGGCTGAAATATGTTAAAATGTTAGAATAATTTTTCTCAAAAATCAAAAGACCCAGGGTGCTGATATTAGCCTGAAGTATGATGGGATGAAGAGCTATCAAGTTTGTAAAAATTAATTACCTTGACCCACTTTCAAGGTCACAGGGGTAAAATGTGTTGAAATATTGAAACAACATTTTCTCAAATACCAAAAGGTAATAAAAGCTGATATTGGTCCTGTAGCATGCTGATATGGAGGGCTACCAAGTTTGTTCACCTTGACCTGTCAAGGTCACAGGTGTCAGATGTTTTGAAATGCATAAGCAACTCTGTCTCAATAACCAACAGACTAAAGAGTTTAGAGTAATGACTTTTGTGTAGTGCATATATAAAGAATATGATTGTAAGTTTGCAGAAAAAGTCTCTATGAACCAACCAGTTTTCTATGTAAATTGTAATGTAATTGAGCAATTCATTTTAGGCCTATTTGGCCTCTTTCATACATAGGTCTTTATAGTCAGATGACCTTTAAGGCCTGTGGGCCTCTTGTCATTGGGATGACAGCCTTTACCTTATCATATTGATGACAACCTTGACCTTACCTTGTAAAGTGACCATTTCAATCATATGTAATAATTCCAGTGACAGCATTAAAATTCTTATAACCATGACTTGGCTTACAATTCTTTAACTTTAACTTATCTTCAGTAATCCATGTTAGAATCTGGTGTCTGGTGTGACTTGATCAGATCATGTTGCAAACTTGACCTGAGTCTAGTGGTGACATTTTCAAGGTTTGTATAGTTTCCATTTCAGAAAAGGCTACACTTCCCTTGGACTGAGGAAATGACATTAGAAATGTTATTTTTCATTTTTCATCAACAGATGCTGGAAGCAGATGTCTTGGAAAAGGTCTCTAGATTTGAGGGCATTATTGGAGAGGTATGTTTCCTGTGTCGTCTGTTTCATTGTTGTGAAATTTCATCATCAGGGTGTTGACAAATAATTAGATCTAATGATCTGTTATTCTGTTTAACAACATTGTTGTTGACTGCGTTTTTAAGTCACCTGAGACAAAGTCTCCGTGTGACCTATTCAGATCCCCTTTTGTACAGTGTCGTGCATTGTGCGTTCACGTTGTATGTCGTGCATCATAATCTTTACGACAGAAATTCTACATAACAAATATTTCATGATAATTTCTCTTTAATGAATCCTTGTTTAGAAACTTTGGATTTTAGAAATTTGGTGTGACGTTTCCATTCTCAGTAATATAATGTCTTCTGTCATTTGAACAGCTGGAGGATTCTAAAAAGTTATTGAGACGATACGACTCACAGCTAAAACAAAGTCACAAAGAGACAGAGTTCAAAAACCAAGAGTTGGAAAACATCAGGTAAAACATGTATTGCATTTGGTTATCTCACCTGGAATCTGTACACCTGTACAGGAGCCGTTGTGTTGGAGCATTAGCTGAATACTCAGAAAATTTTTCTTTCAGCTCTACACAGAAAAACACCTAAGATTATTTTCACTCTTAAATAAAACTTATTTTTGTCTGTTGTTAAATTTTACCTAAAATTATATCATTTAACTTCAGTTATGTTATAGACAATAGTGTGAAACTGGCTTAAGTTAAATTGAAATGATATTTCATCATATACAGTACCCATTGCTAAATTGAAATATTTTCTGAGCAAATAGATGCATTTACGATATGAATAAATCTGACCCTTTAGGAAGGAATTATCTGAGCTATGGGGCAGCCATAATCAGCTGACTGAACATTCCAGTCAACAGGCAGATCTCATCAGGCAGCTCCAGTCTCTACAGCAGGACACTCAAAAAAGTAAGCAAACCAGTCTTTAGCGAAAATCAGGAAAGTGAATGAATGATGTTCAGATTGACCATAATAACTTAGGTCGTGTACTTTACAAGTTATACAGAAAGGCATTAAAATGTAAAGAATAACGAAAAAAAGGCATTCCCTGGTAAGTTAATGTAAGAAACATAAAACTTTAATTGGGATGGGGAATGAAGTGCAATTTGCATATGTGTGTATAAAAATGAGAAATCAATAAAGAACAAACAAATAAGGCAGTTTGTTTACAACATGATGTTGTAACTTGTTTACAGTGATGAAGAATGCAGAGGATGCCTACTGTATGGAAGCTACATCTGTCCAGGATGTGAGTATCATACCTAAGATCTCCATTATATACTGTTTGCCCATTGTCATGCATAAAAAGTACCTTCCTACTAAAAAAGTATCAGAGTGCTTTTTGTGCATACCCTTTGCATAAAATGTACCCCCTAACAAAAATTTTAAATTTTATTGTCATTCACCTGGTCTGAAGGGCCAATGAGCTTGTGCTATGGTTTGGCATCTGGCATCCGTCAATTTTTTAATACAAATTGCTATTGGTCATGAATGACAAAATAGATTTTGACCAAATTTGGTCAGAAGCATCCATGGGGGAAGGCAAGGCAAGGGTTCTTAAATATTGGTTCTCGGCCCTCAAGGGCCAGAAGTGTGGGGCCCAACAGGGGAAAGTTTACAAGTTCTTTCAGATCCTATTTCTCAAGTAGGAATGAATGGATATTGCCCAAATTGTCTGAAGCATACTTAGGTGAAGGAGAATAGTCATGTGTAGATTTTAGATTTGGCCTACTGGGGAAGTAGGGGTGGGTCCCAATAAAGGAATTACGGTAAATTCTTTAAAATCCTACTCCTCCTGTAGGAATGATTGGATTTTGCCCAATTTGATCAGAAGCATCCTGAGGTGAAGGGTAAGCAAGAAATGGTTTTCAGCTCCCAGGGGCCAGAGATGGAGGGCCCCTAAAACAAATAGAGAGCAAGTTCTTTGAAACCCTACTCCTCCTATAGCAACGAGTAGATTTTTGCGTAAATTGGGCAGTATTTTTGGTGAAGGAGAATCAGTTCTATATAAATAGTGCATCTTGGCTCCCTAGGGCAGGGGAAATGGGGCCGTATTGGAGAAATGTAAAGTCTTAAAATTCCTTCTTCTGTACTTGGATATTGCCCAAGTATGGATTGAAGCAATTTATGGCTATCATGCATCATCTGTCATCGTGCCCTGTCTGTATTCGTTTCCTTTAAAACACTGCTCATGCATAACACCTAGGTGAATTACAACCAAATTTAGTTTGAAACATCATTTTGGGGTGGGGGATCATTTCATAATTTAGAGAGTTGATTCGACCCCTAAGGATCTGGGGATGGGGCCCCAAAAGGGTAGTTAAACAATACTTTGCTTCAAAATGCTGCTCTTCCTTATTGCTTAAATGGATTTCATACAAATTTTGTCTGTAGCTTTAGTAATGGTTGGCAAATAATTTTTAAATTCAGAAAGTTGATTTGACCCCGAGGGACTGGGGATGGGTTCCCAAAAAGGGGAAGTCAGGCAACAATTTGTTCAAAAACACTACTCCTTCTTAATGCCGAAGTAAATTTCAACCAAATTTGGCCTGAAACATTATCAGGGAGTGGTCATGATATCAAACGTGCATGAAGTGATCCTGAGAGTGCCCTGACCAAAGCTTTTTTTTTCGTATTGGTCCAAAATCCAACATAACTCATCTAGAACAAATAGACTTAATTTTATCAGAAATTATTTGTCATATTTAAAATTCTTTATTAAATGGCTAAATAGCTAGATTGCCAGGTGAGCAAGTAGGCCCCTTGGGCCTCTTGTTGCTTATTGGTTTTGTCATTGAGGAGTTCAGTACTTTGGTTTTATCAAGTTTTATTGCTAACTTTTGATCCTTTCTGAACATAATAATGTCATTTTCTCAGAACCGGATGCTGAAATTATCAGAAATTGTTTGGTGAAATGAAATGAAGCTAATTAGAAACATGAACTATATTTTTAACCAGATGTTGGTTTGAATGTGTTATGAAGGGAATCTTTCATAGATTTTATTGTAGTGAATTAGTGTCAATCTGTGTTCTGTCATTAAACGATGGAATACTTCATGACTATGGTAATGTCTTCAAGAAATCGTCTTTGGTTTTTTATTAGATATTTCTTGAAGTACCACAAATTTTCTGCATTTCAAAGAGCACAAATTTTTGTACCACACTTTTGGCTAAGATGAGACACGTGTGATTACCATTTGTCAAGTATATGTTGTATAAGTCTGTGTACGTAAAACTAAGTGTATCAATATGCCAGATTGAGATAGGAAACTTTGCCTGGGGAGAAATTTTAATAGTGATCTTGTCTACGATACTTGAGCTGTGTTATCATTGTGTTGTGTAATCTCTCAGAGAAAAAGAGTTCTATCTGGAGTGACAGCGTCATAGCGCCTGGCTTGGGTGCGTGAAGACGGCCCACCTGGTAGTGCTGTGATATACATGTTACCAAGTCTTGAAGCATTACTTTATTTTGAAGATTTATTATTTTATCACTTGTTTCAAGGGATTGTCGCTCCACTCCAAGCTCCAAGTTTAATTGAAGTGTGATGACTATTGCGGTATTACCAACTTCCTGTGTAGTTTTTGTTGGAGTCGTGTGTAAGGTCATGTGGTCTCCTTTAATTACTATCTAGTCACAGAGATTTACTAGGCTGTAACTTAACCAGATTCACATGTGTACACATGTTGTAAAAATGATTTTTCAGAGTGCTTGCAGGGCTACTGTATCATTATAGCTTCCTTCACCATTTCCTGCCTTTGGGACCTCTAACAGGGAAAACCCCTGAAATAGAGTATTTATTCTCATATATATTTGGCCATAAGCATTAAACATCTACCTTCTGAGTGTAATAGATTGCCATGATTATATATTTGTGATAAGGAATTTAGACCCTAGTTAAATCTGTATAGGTTACCATTGGTGAGGAATTCAGACCCAAGTTACTAAGGTTACCATTGGTGAGGAATTCAGACCCTAGTTACCTAGGTTACCATTGGTGAGGAATTCAGATCCTAGTTACCTAGGTTACCATTGGTGAGGAATTCAGATCCTAGATACTTAGGTTTACCATTGGTGAGGAATTCAGACCCCAGTTACTTAGGTTACCATTGGTGAGAAATTCAGACCCCAGTTACTTAGGTTACCATTGGTGAGGAATTCAGATCCTAGTTACCTAGGTTACCATTGGTGAGGAATTCAGATCCTAGATACTTAGGTTACCATTGGTGAGGAATTCAGACCCTAGTTACCTCGGCTACCATTGGTGAGGAATTCAGACCATGATTTTGTATGTTACCCTGGATAGGGTATTATGCTTTGGTTATGTGGTGGACTATAATTGATGAGGAATTTAAACTCTGTTTACATTTGTTACAAGTAATGTTGAATTTAGAATCTTTTTGTAAGTTACTATTAATGAGGAATTCAGACCTTTGTAATCTTGGTTACCATTTGGTGACGAAGTAAGAATTCAGTTATTTAGGAACCCAGCACAACACACCACAACCAACCACAACACACCACAACCAACCACAACACACCACAACCCACCATCACAACCTAATACAACACATAAAAATCCACCACAACATATAAAAACACACCACAGCATACTACAGCACACCACAACACACCACAACACACTACAACAATCAACAATACACTACAACACACTACAACAATCAACAATACACTACAACATACCACAACAATCAACAATACACTACAACAATCAACAATACACTACAACACACTACAACAATCAACAATACACTACAACACACTACAACAATCTACAATACACTACAACATACCACAACAATCTACAATACACTACAACACACCACAACAATCAACAACACACTACAACAATCAACAATACACTACAACACACTACAACAATCAACAATACACTACAACATACCACAACAATCTACAATACACTACAACATACCACAACAATCTGCAATACACTACAACACACCACAACAATCTATAATACACTACAACACACCACAACAATCTACAACACATCACAACATACCACAACAGACCACAACAATCAACAATACACTACAATACACTACAACACACCACAACAATCTACAATACACTACAACAATCAACAATACACTACAACACACTACAACAATCAACAATACACTACAACATACCACAACAATCTACAACACATCACAACATACCACAACAGACCACAACAATCTACAATACACTACAACACACTACAACAATCTACAATACACTACAACACACCACAACAATCTACAACACATCACAACATACCACAACACACTACAACAATCAACAATACACTACAACACACCACAACACACCACAACACACCACAACAATCTACAACACACCACAACAATCTACAATACACTACAACACACCACAACACACCACAACAATCTACAATACACTACAACACACCACAACAATCTACAACACATCACAACATACCACAACAGACCACAACAAGCAACAATACACTACAACACACCACACCACAACACAACACACCACAACACACCACAACACAACACACCACAACAATCAACAATACACATCACCCCACCACAACACACCACAACACACCACAACACAACACACCACAACAATCAACAATACACTACAACACACCACAACAATCAACAATACACATCACCCCACCACAACACACCACAACACATAACACCACAACAATCAACAATACACTACAACACATTACAACACACCACAACACACCACAACACAACAATCAACAATACACTACAACACACCACAACAATCTACAACACACCACAACATACCACAACAGACCACAACAATCAACAATACACTACAACACACCACAATAATCAACAATACACTACAACACACCACAACAATCAACAATACACTACAACACACCACAACACACCACAACAATCTACAACACACCACAACATACCACAACAATCTACACACAACAATCTACAACAGACCACAACAATCAACAATACACTACAACACACCCCAACACCCCACAACACACCACAAGACACCAAAACACACCACAACAACCAACAATACACTACAACACACAACAACACACCACAACACACTTAAATATACTGCAACACACTACAACAGTCAACAACACTCTACAACATACCACAACACACTACAACACTCTACAACACACCACAACATACCACAACAATCAACAATACACTACAACCCACCACGACAGTCTTTGGGTCTAATCTTATTAACATTTCCTTTACTTCTCATTAGCTTAATTTTCATAAATGAACTTATTTAACAGTGAAAGACTGAAAACAAAGTCTTGCAACGACAAATGGCTACCTGAGGCAGTGTGTTAGTTATATCTATTTCTGCAAGAAATATTGCCAGGTAAAATAGATACAGTATAAACCCCTGAAAAATCTAACTCCTTGGGACCAATACCGTGAGGAATAGGGGTTAAAGGTTATCATGTTGCAGTCATTCCTGACAACTGTCTTTGAATTACTTTATTCAGTGCTCTATTCTGTGATCAGTCTTATTAATGATTGCCTCAAAATTTGTCTAATTTATCATTTCAATATTTTGAATTTCTTGGAGGAGAAATTTGTAAAATTTGGTGTGTTGGGCATTGTTCATTTATGATGACCATGCAAAAAATACATCGCTGAGAATGATGATAGAATGATGAATACTTTGGCATTGTCTTATTTCAACAAATTCAAATGACATTAAGATGTTGATTTCATTTTTTATTAATTTGCCTGATATGCTAAAAAATCTATAAAGGTATGTAATTTGGTTTTACTTTAAAAACAAACTTATGTTTGAACATCATTTGGGTTTTCTTCATCAATCTTAAATACAAATTTATATGAAACATTCCCAAAAATGTAATGTAACAGATGGCAGTACAGATATGTAATCATATCACTTTGAATCCCATTATTATTTGTTGTCCTTATGGGTAAATGTGTTTACATGCTGGAGTGATCTGAACCAGTACAATACAATAAGCATCAAAAGGGGATTGGGAAAAATTTTAGTTCAAGGAATACAAAGTCATCAAGATGTAAGGGTTCAAGCCATCCAAGGTTATATGACAAGGAATATATAATCAAACAGTCAAAACCAGGCAATCGGTCAGACAAATAGGGATATTAAGGTAATACAGGTTCTAGGAAGTGGGGTTTTACTGTGTATATATATATCTAGTTTTGGAATTCAATTTACTAAACATTGGAATCATTCTAATAATGATATAGAAATGATTTCTACTCCAATTGATATTGTGTTACAATTTTTTATGCCCCCGCCATTTTTATGGCCGGAACAAAATTCCAAATTCATGTATGTTAAATCAACTTGTCAATTTAAGTATGAAACTTAAGTTATACATAGTTGCATACAAATTAACAAAATCATCTCTTTCGGACCTTTCACTATTATTTCACATGGGGGGTCGGGGGCATTCATGTCTTACAGACATTTTCTAGTTTCTTTGAAATTTCGCCCTGCCAGTCCTTGATTTGATCTCATGGATGTTAAATATAAGGCAGTTGGTTAGGATTTCATCAATTTGTTTGTCTTAGCAAATCATTTCCTCAAAATCATTGGTGTCCAATTGTTTGAATCTTGAAAGTTTATAAAATAGTACTTTGTGTTAAGTGATGTAAACAGATCATGTAATCTTACTAACAGAAATGAGCTGTTCGATCTTAATGATTCTTTTTAGTTCTAACAAATATGTTGCCTGCCCTGGACTAAATTGAGAAAAACTGTGGCAATGGGATACCCAAACTTCAAGCCAATTTATAATTCAAACTCAAAGCCAATTTACAATTTAAACTGATTTTAGATGAAATGTAGCTACGGTTTCAGAGAGTACAATATAGAAGGATGTTAATAGATAAAGATGTTCCAGACTGTTAAATCACCTCTTACATTAAGGAGGTGATATACTTGTAAGCGTACCCTGTCGATGACGTGGTAATTATATTGTTATTGGGGTATCCTCCAACAGTTGTTAGACAACATGTGTTGGCAAAGACAGAAAAAAATTTGTGGTATGGTGGGAAATAATTTGTTGTTCTTAAGCTGGTTCTGTTTTTGTTTTCATTAGTGGTAGTGTGGTATTTTTAACCTATCTGTCCAGAGAATTAGTCAGCTTATGTCATGGTGAGGCTTCCATTTGGTCATTTTCAATCTGATGTCATAACTTCAGGTCAAAGGTCATATTATTTGGCCAATACTAAGACAAAATCCTTTTAAGTTTTGTCAACTGAATGACCTTGACCTACTCTGCACACATTGTTAATTCTAATTAGGTCACTGTACATTATTGGTGTTGATGTGAATAAAATTGCTAGTTATATTGTTTAAGTACATTAAGTAATTCTATATATTGTTGATGTAAATTAAGTCACTTTTCATATTGTTGATGTAAGTTAAGTCTCTGTTTACATCATTGACGTTTAAAAAGTAACTGTACATCATCTTGATGTAAGTAAGTCACTTTACATATCCTTGATGTAAATTAAGTTGCTTTACATATTGTTTATGTACAATAAGTCATTTTACATAACATTGATGCACTTAAAGTCACCTTCTAGGACACTTGTTCATGTGTGTGTATACTGAATCATTGCCTTCCATTTTTTTTTTTTTGAAGATGTACACTGAACTGACCCATCGGTATGACGAGTCAAAAAAGAAGGAATCAGATCTTCGACATCAAGTCCACTCACTCCGAAAGGTAGGCGTCTCCATTCAGCTGAACAAGATTCAAAGTCTCGTCATTTAAGAATTATCTTGTGTTAAGTTTGTCATCAGAATCCATTTATTACTTAAATATGAACTCTGTGTAAGGGCGAGGGGTAAGGGAGTGGAATAACCCCACTAAGTAATCTTTACCGTGGTGGATACATCTTGTAGTCAAGCGTGCTAGCGTAATCTCTTAGTGACTATAGTCCCTCTGTACATTGCACTAAATTGGAGAGACGTGACATTTCACAATAGAGTCTTATGCTCGATGAGGAGTTCCATGTTTCTCCATACACATGCAGCATGGCGCTGGTCCCATGAGGGGTCGCCCATATTTGGGGAGGGTGTCTACTACTGATAATGTGAGAGACACGTCAATCAGAACTGCGGTGATACATAGCCCCAGATCCCTGTTCCCGCAACCGACCCGTTGTTTGGCATGTACAAGACACTCTTTCTGTCCCGAAATAACAGGCTCTCCAGAGAGATGAGAGAATGAGATCAGGCCCGAACACACCACATCAACTCTATTTTCCGCCTATTGCCTGCTTGTGCAGATGTCTTTAAAAGAGTCCCTTTACAGTCCTACAACATGCATGATTCTTAGTCTTCATCAATTTCCTCCAATTGTTAGTATTGGCATGCTACTTCATCAGTCACATGTATACAGATTGGAGACATTGTATGATACCACACGACATAAAGGACTGCTCTGTTTTATTGTAGTAGAGTAACCATGGAAACAACCACATTATGTAAATTCTTGGATTTATTCTAAAATCTTGACTGATAAAAGTTCAATTTATTGAAAGGCATTAATCTACTTAATAAAGCTAGAGGAATTTGATTATCGGCAAATTTAGTCTTGATTTTTTCAAATACAGAAATTTTCTCAATTGATGAATAAAATAATGAGGTTAAATGTATCGTGACACTTTTCTGAAATCAGCTTATTTGTCTAGTATGTGTCCTAGTATTACATTTGTGGTTATGTACTGTGGTTAGAGAAGATGAAATTATTTCAGAGAATGATTTCAACAACAAGAGTTCTTTAAAAGTGATGATCAAATTATTTCTGATGGACACACTTCATACTATATAAGTGCTAATTCCTAGCTAAAATATCAGGTCACTTCTGGAGGTTTTAATGAAAAAAATGTAAAGGGTTACAAACTACAAGAGTTTCACCGTCATCTGTCTTTTGAAGTTTGACCTTTATAAACTAACGGTTTACCAGTGAAGTGAAAATCCTAGATGAAAACTTACCTGAAATTGAATGGGAAAAAATGCCTTTATCCACACAGTTATGAAAAATTCATTTTCTGTGTTTAGTTGTTAAATAATTTGTGTTACCTGTAATAGTTTCAAGTGGACATACCACACTACAATTCTGTCATTAAAACTTGATAACTGCCTACAATTCACTGCAGATGTTTGACCATTGTTTCTCCAATCATTGTAATTCTTTCAGCTGGTAATCAGGTGTGTAATAATATTCCTGGTTTTGTGTTATGCTAAGAGCAGGTTTTAAGTTAAACTTTGACCTCACAAAAGTTTTTTTTCTCTGTAATTTAACCAGTTTTTTTGGACATTGATAGTGAGATAGGTTTTTTTTTTTATCTTTTTTAATTCAAAAATCTATTGAAGGCTACATATATACATTGTGTCGTTATCGTGACATCCCGTTGTGTCTCTAACCTTGTGAAGATCTCAACTGGCAGTCAGATCAGCAGGCAAGTCTTTGTGCAATTGAAATTCCAAAGACTGTCCCCTTATTGAAATTTAATAAAAGCTGTCTGTTTGTTATGGCGGTTGAGTTTATATCTCCTTTGGAATTCACATGTTATTGTCAAGAGGCACAGTCACAGAAGCCAAATCACTAACACAGTTAGTTATTTTTTATTTTAGCTGGCCTGGCAAAGCACTCCTGGGGATTTAACAAAAGGGGATGTAACAGATCAAGACAATTAACAGTCTCTTATCTTAACTGTAGTCTCTTGATTCCCCACTAGACTTACTGTACACAGGAACTGCTGTCTTTTTACTGTCATATGTACCAGTAAAAATGTAGCCAATGTTTTGTCAAAGGCCGTATAGTTAATGTCTTTTTCTAGGAACAGACAGATCTATCAAAGAAGAAGGGTTGTCAGCATGTCATATTTGTTTACATAAACTTAATGATTGCATGACAAACAACATCTTTTATTACAAGAAGACTAATATTTACTCCAGTGTGGGTGTCCCTCGGGTAATGTCAAGCGAAATGTCCTCACAGCTATGGCTGTCCGCGGCATACTTCTCTGCCATATGGCCGAGCCGATGTCCCTGGTGACTGTAAAAGTTAATAAAATAGTCACTTCAATAGCTGTCTACCAAATTACACCCGAAATGTTTCCCCTCGACCAAAATGACATTAGCTTATTGTCGTCAAGTGGCAAGCGTTGTTGATCACCACAAACAAAAAGCTACTAATTTTCATTTTGTATGTAAGACAGCACATGGGAATCCTCTGGAGTGGCCCAACGTTTTATTTAGGTGGCATTGTGGATGTAGATAAATAAAATGTATGTCATTTTTAAATTGCATGGGCTGGCTTTTGACAAAGACATGCCATGATAGATCAGGACAAGAACGCTTTATCCGTAGATGAGGACAGTCCCGGTGGACGTCGCTCCCTATCATGGAGTGGGGCTGCACTTTTCAGGGTATCACACAAATTTTAGTGTAATGCCAGCACGGAGCAAATAAACGACACCAAGTCCAACATAAATATGATATTCCAATTACATCCTATGGCAACCTGTCTGTTTGCTTCTCACCTATGGCAAATTGTCATTGGCTAAATGACCATCAATAAGCTACCCTGGCCTCCCTTGAGGCCCACTAGGAATCTGCTCCACAAATTAACTTATTCATATTATATTCATATTTCCTGCCATCAACAAAATTTGGTTGTGTGTTTCGGAGTGTATTGATCCGGTTAGCGCCGTAGTGCGTGCAGGGCTCTGTCCAACTCATCACGTCCAGCCTGTCATAAGTTCCAAATTTTCTTCGCCTCCAAGCTCACGTCTTGTCATCAATTTCTTGTTCCTTGGCACTTTGGACGATGAATCATTAGCCCTTGTCTCTCCTCATCATAATCGAAGGTGTGGGGCTTGGTTTATTGGGAGGACCAGGTGCTCCCGAATTCACACCCTCATCCGAGACATTCATGACAGCCCCGTACCCTAACTGGCGAGTAATCTTCAGGAGTGGAAATTAACAGTGCAATTACGATTTGGGTCTTGCACCCTGGTCCTATCGGGCAATCCACGACACACCTATTGGTCCTGCTCTGTGAACCTAGTCACTTTGTGGTTTTTACAATTCTCTAATTTCCTGTTTTGTTTCCAAATGTGGTCTTATGTATATTTGTCTGATATTATACCAGTTATCTGTAAGGGTTACAGTATGTTGAGGTCATTGAGGTCACAGATATAATTGTGTTTCTCTTTATCATTTACTGTCAGCATGGTCAGGTTAAAAGTACTTCAGAAACATAGGAATTAAAACTTTCTAAAACATTTGTATAACTGACATATATGAGCAAGCTATTAAGTTTGTATATGAAATACTTTTTTGTTAATTGCAAAACTCTGTGCTGATGACATTTGCAACAAAAACCTTAAGAAAACAGGCCATCTATTATAAGTTCTTCAACTAATCCCAATAAGATTTGTATATGGTAAAAATATATATGACTAAATTAAAATGGTTTTATAATTCTTAAATGATATTTATTTTATAATAATTGTAAAACACTTCATTGATGTTGAAATGTGCGATGGTTTTTGAAAGAAATTATTTCAAACTTCTTTACCAAAATTATACATTATATGTAGTGTTTGTTTCCATTAGTGATCAATAAATATATATATATATATATATATATATATATATACTTACACTGATCTGTATGAAGTTGTTTGAAAACTCAAAAATTATTTTTATAAACAGAAAGAAAAGATTCATCAAAATGTAGTCAGAAAAATATAACTGCATTTAAAATGTCATTAATACTTGGCTTTTATATAACAAAGGTAACATCTGTCATTAGAATAGTTTTAAGTATCATGTGTCATCCATGCCAAAATGACACGTGTCATTAAATCAGTTTTATCAAAGTACCATGTGTCATCAGTACCAAGGGGACATGTGTCATTAAAACAGCTTCATGTCTTGTTATTTACATGATGTGTGCTGTAAGGATATAAGTACTAAATAAAGATGACAGGAGATCAAATGATCAGATGAGTAATGTGGGTGGTTAGGAGAGTAAGACAGAGATAAGTACAACATACACAATCTAGATGTATGTAATTATGTAATCACAGAATGTTACGCTACATGTGACAAAGCACTACCATCAAATTAATGTCATTTCATATATATATACCTGTCATTTATAGTAGGGTCAATCATGGGGGACACATGTACTGGTCCTATCATTATAGATAGATATACTGTAGGAACCATGGGGGACACATTAACTACTGTAGGAACCATAGGGGACACATGTACTGGTCCTATCATTATAGACAGATATACTGTGGGAACCATGGGGGACACATGTACTGGTCCTATTATTATAGACATATACTGTAGGAACGATGGGGGACACATGTACTGGTCCTATCATTATAGACATATATACTGTAGGAACCATGGGGGACACATTAACTACTGTAGGAACCATAGGGGACACATGTACTGGTCCTATCATTATAGACAGATATACTGTGGGAACCATGGGGGACACATGTACTGGTCCTATTATTATAGACATATACTGTAGGAACGATGGGGGACACATGTACTGGTCCTATCATTATAGACATATATACTGTAGGAACCATGGGGGACACATGTACTGGTCCTATCATTATAGACATATATACTGTAGGAACCATGGGGGACACATTAACTACTGTAGGAACCATAGGGGACACATGTACTGGTCCTATCATTATAGACAGATATACTGTGGGAACTATGGGGGGGACACATGTACTGGTCCTATCATTATAGACATGTACTGTAGGAACCATGGGGGGACACATGTACTGGTCCTATCATTATAGACATATACTGTAGGAACCATGGGGGACACATGTACTGGTCCTATCATTATAGACATATATACTGTAGGGGGGGACACATATACTGGTCCTATCATTATAGACATATATACTGTAGGAGGGGACACATGTACTGGTCCTATCATTATAGACATGTATATATACTGTAGGTCCTATCATTATAGCTGACCCCCTAATGACGTAGGGTTGGGGTCCAATAGGAAAATCAATGTATATGTTGTGTGCTTGGATATTTAGAATTCCAGATGGGGGACACACTGGTCCTATCATTATAGACATATATACTAGGAACCATGGGGGACACATAGGAACCATAGGGGACACATACTTGGTCCTATCATTATGATATACTGTGGGAACCATATACTGGGGGACACATGTACTGGTCCTATCATTATAGACATATATACTGTAGGGGGGGACACATGTACTGGTCCTATCATTATAGACATGTACTGTAGGAACCATGGGGGACACATGTACTGGTCCTATCATTATAGACATATACTGTAGGAACCATGGGGGACACATATACTGGTCCTTTCATTATAGACATATACTGTAGGAACCATAGGGGACACATGTACTGGTCCTATCATTATAGACATATATACTGTAGGAACCATGAGGGACACATGTACTGGTCCTATCATTATAGACATATATACTGTAGGAGCAATGGGGACACATGTACTTATCCTATCATTATCAAGATTACCACTGAAGTGGTTGTTAATCTGACTGTTTCTACATTTTTGAGATATGAAAGTTTTTTTCTATAACTGAAATACAGTATTGTACCAGGTATGCCTGATGAGTTAAATGATTATGTTTTAGTCTGTCATTGGCTTACAGCGCTGTCTGTCGTCAACTTTCTCTACAAATCGCTTCTACTATGTAGTCATGAACGACTAAGATTTTGTCCAATTTTTGTCAGAAATATCCTCGGGGGAAGTGTAACAATATATTTTTATCATTGGTAAGTTCAAGCTCTGTGGGGGCTAGAGGGGTGGGGCTCAAAACGGGAAATTCTATAAATTCCTACTTCTCCTGTAGGAATGATTTAATTTTGCCAAAAATTGGTCTGAAGCATTGCTGCTTGGAGGAGCAGGAGGGGCTGGGCCCAATAGGGTAGATAAAGCAAATTTCTTAAAATCTTTATCTTCCTGTAGTAATGATTTTATTTTATCCAAATTTGGTCTGAAGTATGAATGGTTTGGCTGACCCCCTAATGACGTAGGGTTGGGGTCCAATAGGAAAATCAATGTATATGTTGTGTGCTTGGATATTTAGAATTCCTTTTCCTTTAGTTTTGATGAAGCAATTTCAGCCAAGCAAAGCAAGGTGAGCGATACAGGCCCTATGGACTTTTTGTTAATGATTTACATACATCTGTGTATCCCAGATCCCTCTACTGTTTCTATCGTTTCTGATATGTAATTGTGTTGGATTTTTCAGGAAATAATGGAGAAAGATGACATCATAGCAAATCTGCAAAGTAAAGTTGATCGACGCCACAGGAAAAGGAACAAAGGCTCATCTGCCCTTAATGGCAGCTTTCTTGCCGACGATAAGGTATATAGATGGAATCTGGATTTGTGATATCTCTATTACATATTATGCTTAATAAAAATAAAAAGTTAAATTGAGATTATCTCTGTTTGCCACAATTTTGATTTGTCCGGTGTTTGGAACTTAAGCATACATGTGGAACCAAAACACACCGAATGCATCTACATTTTCTCTCTTCAATTCAGAGTACTTGGTTACGCTTTGGTTCCATTTCCACCCACACAGTAATTAAGGGCATATAATCTGTTTAACTTGTGTATAACAAATATCTCTGCCTTGGGAAATACTCCTGGCCTTTGGAAACCAGAAACTTTCTATATCCCTCAAGCCCAACAGTATAGTGTAGATGACACCTCCCTTGCATGGCTTTATTTTTAGTGCCCTTATCATTACTGGGATCGTCATGCAAAATTTTGATAAGGAATCTTAATTTTGCATGAAAAAGTTGCATTTCAAATAAGGACTGTTAATAATAGGTGCATGGATTACAACAAGAGAAAAAATAAAATTGGTGTAACCAGGATGAGCCACAGAAAGAATCTCTGCCGTCAAGCTGGGCTGGCTCTATAGAAGGACATAGTCTAATTTACATGGGGAAATAAGAAAGCTAGAGATCAGAGCTAATAAGAAATGGTAAAACTACATACATTATCGCGTTCAAGTTAATGATGTAGCCCGTATTAACCAGATGTACTCTTTATTTACCTGTAATGGTCCTTAATAGTTGTGTCTGATTGTCAGACAGTTTAGTGTCCCCCAAGCCTTTATCTGGAATTTTCCTTAAGTACAGGCAACTGATATAACAGCACCTGGGGTGAAAAGTCATGATCGGCCCCTAAAGTTGACAGATACCATTGGTGGTCTGGACTTTGTGGTCAGCTGTGGGCTTCCATTACAGAGACATTCCTGTACTGGTCATTGCTATTTGATGATAAGTGGGCTTCCACCCTTAATTGATAGAATACCAGAAGATGGAAATTCGAAATTTATATCATGAAAATTTCAGAAGCTTGTGTCAAACCCTGTAATGATGAATATAAGTAAATGATCAAAGCCTGTTAAATCTGTAAGCTGTAAAACATGTAAATAATTTTAGATATCCAATATACTGTATAATGATATATTTTCGTTTCAAATTTCATGGGTTTTTTTCCAAAAAAATAACTTTTCACTGGCATATAATCATTATTTTACAAGGAATTGATACTCACAAAAACCACTTGTATGAAAACTTAATTTCATGCACTGATGAATTGGTGGATTAAGAGTTCCTACAAAATCAACAAAAATGGAAAAAAAAAATTAAATAAAAGAGTAAGATTATATAGTACTCACTTGTTTGTAACAGTACAGTAGGCAATGTAAGGTCTGTAGAGATCTCACTGTAATGTCAGAAGTTAGAACTAAAACATATGTGTGCTGTATTATTGTACAAACAAAATAATTCTTAGAGCAAAATATTACTAATATTGCTAAAACTCTGATTTTCTTTAAAAGCTTTTAATATTATATTGTTGGAATTGAAGAAATACATTTAGACTGTCTACAAAAAGGAAAGAAAGGTTTGTCTTTTTATTAAAGAAGGAAATATTTCTATTGGTTACAGACTGATGAAATGGACACTATGATGGATTTAGAATTTAGAGTGAAAAGTATGCAAAGGGAGATAAATCTGCTACAAGAAGAGTTGGCTGCCAAAGACAGGTAGTGTGTCATAGTGCTTAAATATTATTCTGCTGGTAATGATACTGTCAAGTAGTATCTATAATTTCTCTTAGGTTCTTTCCCTGTACTGTTTTTAGTTTTTATAAGAAAACACCTGCATTTTACCCTATGATATCATAATATCAAGTTCTACACCTTATCAATAAAAGGGTCAAAGGTCACGAATGACAAATTCTACAAAATCATCCTATAAGTATGAGAGCGGGATTATTAATGGCATGTTTTAGTTTATATTGTTGATAGTAATTTTTATATCTGCATTTCTTACTCAATTTTATTGGTATTTTGATTATAGAAAATGAAATGTTTTTTGCAGACAAATTGATAAACTTGAAAGTGAACAGGGGAATTCAGATATAGAGTTTGATGTATCAGGGCTGAATCGTCGAGACAGGACACATTCCACACCTGCTCGCGATACCGACAAACTCAGGCCTTCTCGACCAACTGCTCCTAAAGCTGGTAACAAGCGGTCAAGGTCTGTGTCACCACGGACACAAGTCCAAGACAAGGATGTCAAACTGAGGCTGATTAAAGCTGAGCGATCATTAGAAGATACCAAGAATTTACTCAAATTAAAGGTTTGTCTGTAGGAAACATTACAAACATGTTTTTAATGACTTCATATTAACAGTGTAGGTATTTCTAAAAAGTTTAAAGATCGCTGTTGAACTTATTAGAAGAGTTGAGAAGATATTGCTGGACTACTGTAATGTAAAGATAAAGTGAATGTAGAGCTATGTATTCCATACATGGGGAAACATTAACTCAATGTTACTCTTGAAAGTAACGAACAGTTGATTGGCCCTCACAAAATGAGTAACTAAAATCTAGTAGACTCTCACCCAGTGAGTAACTAATAGCTGATAGGCCCTCAACTAGTGAGTAACTAACAGCTGATAGGCCCTCATCCTGTGAGTAAGTAACAGCTGATTGGCCCTCACCAAGTGAGTAACTAACAGCTGAAAGGCCCTCACCAAGTGAGTAACTAACAGCTGAAAGGCCCTCACCAAGTGAGTAACTAACAGCTGAAAGGCCCTCACCAAGTGAGTAACTAACAGCTGAAAGGCCCTCACCAAGTGAGTAAGTAACAGCTGATAGGCCCTCACCAAGTGAGTAACTAACAGCTGAAAGGCCCTCACCAAGTAAGTAACTAACAGCTGATAGGCCCTCACCAAGTGAGTAACTAACAGCTGATAGGCCCTCACCCAGTGAGTAACTAACAGCTGATAGGCCCTCACCAAGTGAGTAAGTAACAGCTGATAGGCCCTCACCAAGTGAGTAACTAACAGCTGATAGGCCCTCACCCAGTGTGTAACTAACAGCTGATAGGCCCTCACCAAGTAAGTAATGACCAGCTGATAGGCCCTCACCGAGTAAGTAATGACCAGCTGGCCTAGGTTTAGGTTTTCACAGATTTGCCAGCAGCTCAATCATTACTAAATGAAGGTTGTGTTCATGTGTACATGATTATCACTGTCACCACTTGGATATTCCTAGTTAAGTAATAGAATGTCACTGAGTTGTTACCACCATGATAGTTAGTCTTGTGTTGCCTTTCCAGAATCGAGAAGTGGAGGAGATGAAGAAAGCCCATGCCAAGCGTCAGGCTCGACTTAAGGAAGCTAATGCCAACTACAAAATTGTCAAGGAGCAGCTGAAATCAATGGAAGATGAACATTTTGGGTCTGTATCTTTATCAACAATTTCTTAAAGTAGTCCAAAACATTTTGCTTTAGATCCTCAAGTGCAAGAAAAGCTGCACGATTCAGGATCAAAGGGAGCCATATGTTGTTGAAAATTACCTGGTATGTCTCTTCCTACAAAAAACCACCATAAAACAGATATAGTGTTGAAAGTAAATATTTAGGATGTTATGATGAACTGATGTCAGGCAAGTTTCAACACATCACTGAACTCGCCTACAAATTCAAATATCAAAAATGATGAATATAGGATCTTTTTAGGGGGAACTACGTCCTATAATTCTTGGAATCACATTGCTTGTTTGGATAAGAAGAAAATCAGTTTTAGTAAAATAAATAGCTTTTATCCTTGTAAAGGTAAGAGAGGTTATATGTATGGAGGACCAAACTGACAAAAACAGAATAATCTGTTTCCCACATATTACACATCATTGAATATGTCATTGTACATAGGATAAAAGGAACATGTACATATCATCAACATAAACAGGAAGATTATGTTATTGCAGTATTATAGAATATACAGTTGTAAAAAGGAATACAGCTTATTGTTATAGTAGGGAGAATTTATTGTATTACAGGATATTGTAAAGAAGAATACAGCTTATTGCTGAAGCAGGGAGAATTTATTGTATCACAGGATGTAGTAAATAGGAAAACAGCTTATTGTTATAGTAGGGAGAATTTGCTGTATTATATGATATAGGAAAGAAGATTACAGCTTAATGCTGAGGTAGGGAGAATTTGTTGTATTACAGGATATAGTAAAAAAGAATACAGCTTACTGTTATAGTAGGGAGAATTTGTCGTATTACAGGATATAGGAAAGAAGATTACAGCTTACTGCTGAGGTAGGGAGAATTTGTCGTATTACAGGATATAGGAAAGAAGAATACAGCTTATTGTTTTAGTAAGGAGAATTAACCCAAATTGTTTTCCTGTTACATAATTAACAGAAGAAAGAAAAAGAAAGGTAGACGTGCGGACCCAAGAGATCTGCGGACTGAGAACAGTGATGGTGTGTGGAATGAACTAGCCCACTACAAGAGTGAGAACAGAAATCTACTTGTAGAAAGGTCAGCAAGTCATCACCTCTGACATCTGTGATTGTTAAATGAACATTTTAGTATTGATTTTAAAAATGGTTTTGAAAATTGTATTGTAAATGAACAATGACTTTGTGCTGCAGATAAAATTAATGTGAATTTTAATTGATTCCTTAAGATTTGGAAATACAGGTACATGAGAGACACTACCTTAGGAAAAGAACTGTTGTTGGAAGTGTTGGATTAATTCATTAACTCATGTGAATGATGAGGCATTATAACGAACAATGACTTTAATTTGGCTCCATATACTTACATTAGTTTCTAAAGATGGTTTAAGTCAACTTTTGTTAAGTAATCCAGTACAGTTAAGTGGTAATTAATGGTAAAATAAGAATTATTATATAAAAACATGATAGTGATTTTATATTTACGGTTCTTATTTGACCACAGTATGAACTACTGGTAGACATACAGACTAAAACTTTCACACGTCTTCACCCTGGATACATTTGTATTAATATTTCTGCATTTATATATATATATATATGGCAATATTTATATATTACAGTGTATATAATTTTCCAGACAAAGTCTTGTTTGTAGATATATTTCAAAAAGATTCCTTAAAAATTGCTGTACGCTTGATGTAAGATGGAGCTATATGTGACAAGAGACATGATGACAAAAAAAAAAAAAAAAAAAATTGAAAGAACTAATGATTTGTTTGTAACACAGATAATGCGAACAAAATTATCATGAATACCACTTGGTACTGAAATTTTAAAGTTTTTTCTTCTCAATTTTTTTTTTTTTTTTGAGAAAGATAAAGCATTTTAAACAGAGACTTTCAAAATCTATGACAATTGATTATAAGTTAGTAAATCTGTGTAATTGAAACTTTTGAAAAGAAACTACAGTTTTTATCTAACACTGACAAACAGAAAGTTGGAATTTGATGTTGAAGTTGATTGACTACATATCCGTTGGACAGTGGTTATAATAGGGACGGTAATGGAGGAAGGGAGACAACTCTCACAATAACCATGTATATAGTGTAATATGATGGAGAAAGTCTGAAGATACATGATTACTGGGTATTTATACATTATCATGTTGAAGACTGTACAAGTAAATCTGTAATAATGACAAGACTTCTAAACATATTTTAAGAAGTAAAATATGGCCCTCAAAATACTAGAAACAGTTTTCAATGATCAAGGAGATTTTTATTATAATGTGTGACAAAATCTTCTGGCATTTGTAGAGCCAGTATTGAGGAGGAGGTAGATTCTTTAAGGGTAAAAACCAGTGAGGATGCCGCTACCATTCATGAACTTCGAATAGCACTTACACAGGAGAAAGAAGGTAGGGACTTTTAAAGATGCAGTGAAAATTTTTCTTTTTAAGTTAACAAGACTGAGCCACTCAGAAAAAGCACTGATACCAAATGTTTGCAAATAATTAGTGATTCTTTAAAAATTAGGTATAACTGATGACAAAATTCTTAGAAAAAGACATCAGTTTTTTTTTTTTAAATGCTGGTACATATGTATTTTAGAAAATTTTCTAACTTTTTTTTCTCTACCAATCTAATAAAGGATTTGAGATGACACTGTGACTGTCATGATTGTTGTTGATTTGAGTTGATCAGTTCCATGACCTGAAGAAAAATTTTAAAAGAGATGAATTACTGACAGCAATGTCTTTTCTGTTTCCTTACAAGGACGACAACATGATCGACGTAAAACAGATCTGAGGACACAAGCACGATCAGACCAAGAGACTGAGATACGTCTACTCAAGTCTGAGGTACAACAAAGTTAATTATTTATTTAAAACCTCCCCCAACAGATGTCTCTGAGATAAATTTCCATTATTTCTACTGGAAAGGCCTTTTCTATGACTAGTATTTTAGAATAATTTATAAAGAGTTTTTTTTATACCTATATCCTACCTTATGATTTAGAAATACTGAGCCATCATTTTGAAAAGTGCACATGGATTCTAACTTAAGTAGTAATTAAAGCAATGCTTGGAGATATTTTTACGGAAATGTTACTCTTTTGTTACACAGATACAAAGTAAAGATGTTAAACTGGACAGGATACAAAGAGAACTGGACGATTTAGGGGAGGAAAAACGAAACTTAATGGAGGAAAAACGGTACATATCACTGATACCGTAGCAATGTTACAATTCATTCCTTTTACTTACTTATTCAATTTTTGTATTCTGTTTTTCCAAATCTTGAGATAACTTCTTGACACCAAAGTATTGTTAACAACTAAAAGCTTATTGTTTGTAGGAAACTTCTTGATCCAGAGTATTATGAGCAAATTAAGTATCATCATATTGTTTTAGAGATTACTAAGAAATAATGATACTGTTGTTGTCAGGACTCAGAAGGCAGAAATTCTTGAACTAAAGCAAGACCAAGCTCAGCATCGGATACAGACAGCTGACCACAAACACAGCATCAAACGGTAATCAGGGGAGACAATCACAGATGCATTCAGGATAGAGTAAAGATAAATGTTGAGGATACAGACTAGGTTTGGATTTACAAAAAGGGACTTTTGATTTTTGTTACTTTTTGTTCTTTTTAATTTGAGAATTTCAAATCAATTTTGATGTTAATTTTTTGTTTACAGAGCATACTATAAAGATATGAATAATCTTCATATTGGAAACTGTTTTTTTCAAAGTAAATTAAAAAGTTTGAGTTATGAATGGTCAGTGTGTTTAGTTTTCCATTGTCAGTGTCATCATAGATATTTCTAAACAATTATACATAAACCTGTTTGCCATGAAATGAAGAAAGTACCCTACAGGCATATTTAAATCATCTGACTCTTGCTATCATGCATCGTCTGTTGTTGTGTGCCATCTGCCCTGTCCCTTAAACTTTTCCTTTAAAACACTACTCCTGCTTAACACCTGATGGATTTCAACCAAAGTTGGTCTGAAACATTATTAGTGGAGGGGAATTATGTCATGGATTTCATTCAAGTTTTGTCTGAAACATCTTAAGAGGTAGTAAATTGATTCTTAAATTCAGAAATTTTATTTAAGTACTAGGGACGTGGGGGCGGGGCCCCATATGGGGAAGTTAGTCAATAGTTTGCTTCAAATGCTACTTTTCCTTAATGCTTAAATAAATTTCAACCAAAGTGTATATTTTCCTATAATAAGAATAGCTTTTCCATGACAATAGTATGTTGAAGGTACAGATCCAGATGTTGTTTATAACATCCTAGCATTGCTACCACCAACCAATGAATAATTGTAGCACAGATACTAGATAAATCAGAGTGAGCTTCATAAAAAACAGGAAAATGTTATCTAGTTCTAGAAAACATATCTGACTTTCAGAAGGGAGCTTACATGATGTGGAAATAAAAAGTCCAATTTTTACAGCTCTTTTTACCTTCTCCACAACAGGTTAGAGCAGGAGCTAGATGAAGAGAGAACTAGATGCAGTATACTACAGCAGGGTAAGGACGTGGCAGGGTCTAAATCTAAACACAGGATACGCAACAAGGACTGGAGGACAGGAAGTCGTGTAGCCAGACAGGTAGGATAGACAGCCTCTGGTGTGGGTGTATAATGGTATGGTTATTGAAAGGGGTCTGTACTGGTACAGAGGATACACAACATCTGGTGAGAGTCTGTACTGGTACAGAGGGAACACAACATCTGATGAGGGTCTATACTGATACAGAGGGTACACAATATCTGGTGAGGGTCTACAATGGTACAAAGGGTACACAACATCTGGTGAGGGTCTATACTGGTAGAAAGGGTAGACAACATCTGATGAGGGTCTGTACTGGTACAGAGGGAACACAACATCTGGTGAGAGTCTGTACTGGTACAGAGGAAACACAACATATGATGAGGGTCTATACTGATACAGAGGGTACACAATATCTGGTGAGGGTCTACACTGGAACAAAGGGTACACAAAATCTGGTGAGGGTCTACACTGGTACAGAGGGAACACAACATCTGGTGAGGGTTTATACTGGTACAGAGGGTACATAACATCTGGTGAGGGTCTACACTGGTACGGAGGGTACACAAAATCTGGTGAGGGTCTACACTGGTACAGAGGGTACACAACATCTGGTGAGGGTCTACACTGGTACAGAGGGTACACAACATCTTGTGAGGGTCTATACTGGTACAGAGGGTACACAATATCTGGTGAGGGTCTATACTGGTAGAGAAGGTACACAGTACACAACATCTGGTGAGGGTCTCTTCTGGTACAGTAGGGTACACAACCTCTGGTGATGGTCTACACTGGTACAGAGGGTACACAACATCTGGTGAGGGTCTACACTGGTACAGAGGGTACACAACATCTGGTGAGGGTCTACACAGGTACAGAGGGTACACAACATCTGGTGAGGGTCTCTACTGGTAGAGAAGGTACACAACATCTGGTGAGGGTCTCTTCTGGTACAGTAGGGTACACAACCTCTGGTGAGGGTCTCTTCTGGTACAGTAGGGTACACAACCTCTGGTGAGGGTCTATATTGGTAGAGAGGGTACACAATGTCTGGTATGGGTCTATATTTAGAAAGTATGGGAACCCTCTCTGGTGTGGGTCTGCACTGGTTCTGTATTGGAATTAACCCTCTGTATTGTATGTTAGGGGAGATAACCTAGGGTGTGAGTTAAGTATTAAAAACATGCTCTTTTTCTGTGATAGGTGTAAAATTGTAGATACAAGAAGTATAACATGCCTTAAGCATTTCTTTTCATAACATCTATTGTTTTGTTTGTCATGTTTCTATGAAGCACATGTAAGAGATGTTAAAACAAAAAAGTTTTGTTCATTAAGAAAACCTTGCCAGATTTGTACTCAATAGTATTGATACACCTGCTCTGTATTATAGTCACTTTACAAATTACATCTCTATGTAAGTATATTTAGCACTGTGTCAGTGTGTAACAATTGTGTCCGTCATTAACGAAGATTGGTGGGCAGGGCTACATCATGATCACCTAGATTTCATGTGTTCATACTTATTCATCAGACTCTATATTGGCCACTCTCTCATATGTACAAGTATGTTTGTTGGACCCAGGTATCATATAGTTCATTACCATTTCACTCTCATAAAGTTTCATCATCAGTGTGGGAAATCTTAACTCTAAAAACTAAATCTCTGAAACATGTTACCAAAATTCAGCAGAAAACACACTGGATATTTGTGATGTCAATAATCTATTCTGAAACTCCAATTAGAAATTTGTATTTTATTTTAAAATAGGTTGTTTGTCATGTTAATTCTAATTAAGATATAAAAAAAAATCTTGGAATAATTTTTTTTCCTAGATATATCGTAATGTTGACATATTCTGTGTTGGCACGTGCTTCACAAATTTGTGTATTGACCTGGAAACAGAATTAGAAATGTTTTTCCTTGTAAGCAGTCTTCACCTTCAACCAAGCACCTGTTGATGCTTTTAGAAGTACTCAAATTTTCTGAGGTTAGAAAAAAGCCTTTTCAACCCATATTTGACCATAGTGATTCAAGTGTAAGTACATGACTTCAGGGATTTCAGCTTTTGGTACATAGTATAATAGATTAAAACAGAATACATATCATTTTTAACTGTAATACTTTGTTACAGCCATATGTTTGATTAAGACTAGAGATTGGGGTACATAATACCCAGAATTTTGTGGTGTTATTCAGATTTCTATGAATTCTTTTATTTCATGTGTTTAAAATAGCATGACTGGATTTTAAAAAGATTTTGCATACTGTTTTGTTTTCTATCATTGTAATGGTGTGGTTTCTTTACCTCTGATGCTTTTGTTGTTGCATGGCTAAGGGCGTTACTTTTAAATTTTATTTCTCGTCGATTAAATAATGAACATCTAGAGGATAAGGACAGATGACATTTATAATAAATCTAAATATGATACATATTTACATTAATTACTATAAATTTGACATGGGTATCTACTAACAGTTTAGTTTGTTACACTGTCTGTATCTTATTTCAAAAGCATTTTATTTGGTTACTATATGTAAATCTTTAATTAAACTTTGTTACTAGGTAGGTTATGGACAAATTTGGTTATTATAAGGCAGATATATTAAGTAGATATGATTATTAGCTATATATCTACTGACTTTATCTAAATACCTGAAAACCTCAACCTTTTCTGTAAAACTGTTTTATTCAATAAAACTTCAGCAAGAAATTTTAATTAACTAAATAACACAATTAATACTATTTCTAGGAGAAAATGTGAATCTTTACATTGATGGAAATGTTTTTTTGCTTACGATAGATCTGTCGATAATTTCAATGATGCGGAAATGTTTCAGTTATCTTAAGAAATTTATTGAAGGTCTTATCTCTCTCTAACTGTTAATATCTTATAATTACTACATGATTTATGTTGCTGGTGGATTATCTAAATAATAAGAAATAAATACAAGATTAATTTAGGAAATACTTACTGTAAATATTTTTTTCAAAACAATATTAAAAAAGATGACTTGTGAAAATTGACAGACGTGGAATGCAAACCAAACCTGATGTGTATCCTATGGTTTGTTTTATATTCTGAAGTTTCTTGATTTTTTTTTTTTTACTTTATTGGTTTCAGGTGTAATTATTGTAGATTATATGTGTCAATGCATGTTTGAATGGGGATTTTTGATGCTCAATTTTATATCAAAAGTAAGGGTGTTGTCATTTTTTTTACTTTCTGAAAACCTGTATAATATATACTTTGATTTAGAGAAATTGTCATTGAAAACATAAAGTATACTTATATGAGAATATATCAGATGTCTTCACTTGGGCTGTAAGACCCTGTCAAACACGTGAAATATGAATAATGTTCAACAGGGAACTATTAGATAATCTCTATATACAGTATCTTCTCCCCTTCCTCTTGTTTTATTGATGGGAGGGAAAGGGCTTACATTGTTACCCTGTCATCTTATTTTACAAATTTGTGTCTCAAAATCCTGGGGTTAAAATTTACTGAATTCTTAAAAATTAATAGTAACTTCAACATTCTTGTTCTACAGATTTTATTATCTTTTATAAGAAAAAGGAAATTTCTTTTGCAAAAAGGATATAGTTGTGGAACTTTTTAAGCCATTACTAAATGGTTATTAATTGTATTATTTAGTGAAGTGATACCTTAAAGGTAGTAACGTTATTACCTCCCCTACTGTAACTATTGACTACATCATAATGTTGTTAATAAGTCATTAAAACAATCATCTGAAGATGGCTGAAAGACCTGAAAATGTTAGCGACTACCATGTAGGTCTTATATAAATTAAACTTGTGTGTACAATTACGACAGGTAATTCAAATCTAGAACCTTCGGTTCAACAACAAATGTGTATATTTCCTTTTCAATTTTCTGAAACTTGTGTAATTCTTCACAAACATTAACATATTAATAGTTCTTGAGTCTAAGCATAATTTGGTTAGCAATGGACTCCTAAACTACAGAGTAACACTTGTCATGGAAACAAATGTCTAAGTATTATAAAGTATTAATGATAAGATAGTACTTATTACAGCCTAGACTCTACAACCAATATTATCTTTAGTTCACTGACAAAATGTGTGTCTTTCAGTACCAGAAGTCTCTCAACAAGAGTATAGAAAAGATGAAGTCAGTGTTTCAGAACTTTGAGGACGAAGGATGGGAGGAAGTCTCTGGTTCTCAGGATGAGTAAGCACTTTCAATCTGACAATGTGAGGGATGTAGTTAATGTAGAACTCTGGCTTCTAGTGTAAATCGGGTTTGTAAATAATTAAGGATTGTTGTCTATATCTGGAGTTTAATACTCAGATGTTACAGTCTCCAGTGTAAGTTGAGGGTCTATACATGTTAAGGAGTGTATTCTATATCTGGAGTTTAATACTCAGATGTTACGGTCTCCAGTGTAAGTCGAGGGTCTATACATGTTAAGGAGTGTATTCTATATCTGGAGTTTAATACTCAGATGTTACAGTCTCCAGTGTAAGTTGAGGGTCTATACATGTTAAGGAGTGTAGTCTATATCTGGAGTTTAATACTCAGATGTTACAGTCTCCAGTGTAAGTTGAGGGTCTATACATGTTAAGGAGTGTATTCTATATCTGGAGTTTAATACTCAGATGTTACGGTCTCCAGTGTAAGTCGAGGGTCTATACATGTTAAGGAGTGTATTCTATATCTGGAGTTTAATACTCAGTTGTTCCAGTCTCCAGTGTAAGTCGAGGGTCTATACATGTTAAAGAGTGTAGTCTATATCTGGAGTTTAATACTCAGTTGTTCCAGTCTCCAGTGTAAGTCGAGGGTCTATACATGTTAAAGAGTGTAGTCTATATCTGGAGTTTAATACTCAGTTGTTCCAGTCTCCAGTGTAAGTCGAGGGTCTATACATGTTAAGGAGTGTAGTCTATATCTGGAGTTTAATACTCAGTTGTTCCAGTCTCCAGTGTAAGTCGAGGGTCTATACATGTTAAAGAGTGTAGTCTATATCTGGAGTTTAATACTCAGTTGTTCCAGTCTCCAGTGTAAGTCGAGGGTCTATACATGTTAAGGAGTGTAGTCTATATCTGGAGTTTAATACTCAGTTGTTTCAGTCTCCAGTGTAAGTCGAGGGTCTATACATGTTAAGGAGTGTAGTCTATATCTGGAGTCTAATACTCAGTTATATCATTCCTGATTATTGAAGTATAAAATCTCAATACAGTACCCTTGTGGAAATAACAGTGTAATATACAGCTCTGTCAATTCTTACAGAATCATTTATTGATATTTTACACATTAATCAGTACAAGTTTTACTATATGTTGTTTACATGTATACTATCAAGTTTTAGTGTACCTTTGTTATATGTTAATACAGGGAGGAAACTGAAAGTGATACTCTGGGACAAGCCATCGTGTCAAGGTCACGCACACAACTCTCACCTAGTGACTGTACAGACAGCTCCTACACCTCACAGGTCAAGGTCAGTGCTCATACACACAGCTACAGGTAATGATCAGGTCTGGCTTCTCATAGGTCAAAGTCAGTATCTGTAAGAATTGCCCCTCAAGGTCAAGGTCAGTACTGGCCTCATGTTCAAGGTCAAAACTCATATACATGGGTTCTTAGACAACAAAGTCTATACTGACTCCTCTCTAGGTCATTATTTAGCAGGGGTCAAGGTTAGCTTCTGTAATTAGGTCATGACTCCTTAATGTTCTTTTACACTGTAAAAAAATATCATGTTTTAGTAAAATCCCTGGTCAACTTTGCTGTGTTATTTTCTCTCCAGCCTCGCCCTAAAGTGAAGCAGTCCCTACTGCAAAGACAATCAACACGTACTCGGCGATCTGTTATACGCAATCTACAGAAAGGACCTCGTTCATCACAATCTGATGCACCTGTTTCTGCTAGTGCCACATCAGCTGATGTAGCACGTACAGGTAAAGCCAATACAAATATGCAGTAAAAAAAGATATAAACAAATAAAAACAAAAAATGATGAAAATGTAATGTACAGTAGTATTTAGTTAACTGAGATATCTATACTGATGGCTTTGTATACTGTTTCTTTTGTTATTCAGTGATTAAAACGTTTCCTTTTTTTTTTTAAATTATTTTTATATAATTTTTTTTTCTTTGTATCTATTTAATATACCAGTAAGATGTAAGTATGTTAGTGTGTGATTTTAGTCCTGACTTTGCCTCTGTACTGGGAAAATTTAGTCATGATGCGCTTCAGTTTTGCTCAGAATATAAGTTTTTGACTATAAATTTGACTCAGTGGCATTCTTTGCAAAAGGAATAGGTCTGCCAGTTGTTAAGAAAAAAATATCATGACCGTATTCTGATTTTGTGAAATAAGACATTGCAACACAGCATAGCTTTGACTGCTTTATAGTTGTTGGTTGAACATGAGTGGGGAATATGGAAAGTCTTTTCGCCTGCTTTTTGTTTATGTTGCATTTAAATGAGCCACTGCTGATTTTGCTTTAAAAATCTCATCATGCTCCTAGGTTGTTTTCATAGTTCTTCTAGTTTTCACTTTTCACACTATTCCAGTTATGGACTGGAAAGGTATTCAAATGAATAACTTTCACCAACCATTTACGTCTGATGGATTACATGTAACACACTTGCTGCAGAGCAAAGTGATCAAAGTTTTGTTATTTCATCTGCTTTATAAGCTGCAGAATACTTGGGTGAAACAGGTCCATTGTACCTTTTGTTTTGCAGGAAAAATTCCCCTCTAGATTAATAATTTGGATGTTTTTGTTGTATTTCACATTCTGTGGTTAAAAACATATCTCAAACATCTTCTGTTTTTAAAAGCTTTTATCACTTATAATTTTTCAAACTCTGTATTTTGATCTTTTAATCATTTTTATCTTTTCAATTTTATTTTTCATTAGTTCAGAACACAAATTAGGCACAATTCAATGAACTTTGAAAATTTCCAAATATTTCCAGTGATTTTAAAGATATTTACTTCAGCTTGAAGCACTGTCTGGTGAAGAATGAGAGTTCAGATATCATAAACAGCAGGTTATGTTGACTTGTGTTTTAGTTGTGTTACGTGAGACTGGCACTTCACCGATGAACCAAGCCTCATCGAAGGATATAATAACACCTTCTCCTTCACCTGCCAAACTGCACGAACAAAAGATGGCCCATAACCACACCCTGCGACAACTCAAACAGACAAAACAGAGGGTCCTAAATCTACAACAACAGGTATAGCAAGTTAATCCCAAGTGACTTCAGCAACTTACATGTGTTTAACATTAAGTTTATGAAATATGAGAATGTAAGAATATTTTTATTGAAGTCAAGAGATAAAAAGACACCAGATATACTAATACTACACATAATGTTCTTTATCTGACATAAACACGCCCGACGTGAAGACATTCGACTTAAGATATTGGATAAAATGTCAAGAAAAAATTATAGATTTGTCAAATATTGTAGTGATTTTTTTTATACGCTGCCAGAGGCGGCCATATATTGGCGTCATCTTTTCCGTCTGTCCATACCTCCATTTCTTGTGAACGCAACTCCTTCTAAACTAGTCATCAGATTTTCATGAAACTTGCTCAATGTCACTACTGCAGTGGGGTGATGTGCATGAAGGGGCAATTTTTTGGTTCATTGATTCATAAGATTTATGCCATTTTCAACTTTGTATCTGTAGCTTGCTCATAGTGGAGCCTTGTGAATGCAACTCCTCTTAAAATAATCATCAGATTTTCACTAAACTTGCCCAATGTCACTACTACAATGGGTAGATGTGCATGAAGGGGCGATTTGTCAATTGTTTGATTTTTGTAAGATTTATGATACAGACATGTTAAAAGCGATAATGTTTATCCTTGTGAAGGTTTGAATTAATATTCACAGAATTAAATGACTGCTTTCTTTCTGAAGCAGTAATTTATTTTATTTGGAAGCTTAAATTCTTTACTAATGCCTTCACATTATCACTATAAAGTCTATTTCTGACTGTTGATAGAGTGGGTTTTAGCTAATTTGCATGGAGAGGATTTTTCTGAAGATGTAGTTAACATATGGTATAAATATCTGAACATTTTCTAACTGTTGTGTGATTTTTCAAGAAAACCTGCTTTTGTTTATAAGAGTCTACTTTTTATTTTTTTTATATTTTTTTTATAAACAAATCCAAACATTAATTGTTTATTGTACAGGTAACTAACCTTCGTGATTCAAGGGCAGCTACTCTGAAGGCTTTCCAAGAACACAAAGATGCCAGTCAACAGATGGAATCAGACCTTCACTTAGCCAATCAGAGACTTCGAGTATCAAAACAAAACATACAGGTATGAAATAGGATAGGGTAGGGACTAATCTTGTACTTGTGCTTTATCAAGAGATTTAGACAAAGCATATTTGCACAATGCATAACAATATGATATGGAAAAAAGCAATTTCGATGCAGTTTGATATATATCGAAGCATTGATTTTGCCTGTGTAAAAAGTCAGTGTTGGTTTTAATATGTAACACATTTTACTTACATGTTTAGTTAGGAATATAGATCACACAATCTAGATACAGTCAAACTTTCTTAACTCAGGAAACTCTAATGCCCCACTGAACATGAAGTACTTTGTTGGTCCTGACAAAATTTTTTCTTTATCCTAGTAATAAAGATCTCAAATTTAGAAAACTTGACCCAAACTTGTAAGTTTTTTAGCCATGAAGATCTCACTGAAATTGTGACAAAGTGTTCTGACAGCCCATGTCTCAGTACCCAGGTACATTGTTATAGGACACTCTATACAGAATACCACTTCAGTTATTAGATGACATACAAATTTGTGAAGCTGAAGCATTCCATTGTTTTTATGTGGTCGAGTGGCACGATGGTAACACACTATCTTTTCACTAAAGTACCAGGTTTTGATTTTTAGACCAGATGTGAGAAGGTAAGAGGTCACCTGCCTGATCTGGTAGGTTTTGCCTGGGAACTCCCTATTTCCTTCCAGAGTAAGACCCCTTATGTTCAATAATTTTATCTCGACAACTTGCATCACAATTGCTGTAAAATGAATGAATTTTTTGTTAATTAGATATGATGGTTGTGAACTTGACCTCTTTTCATTGTTCACAGAAAATGAGTAATGAAATAGAAAAGTTGCATAAGGAGAAGGCTCACCTGGAGAGTCAGCAGATCTTGAGAGAGGAAACCAGCACTCCAGCAGTGAGTGTAGACAAACATACAGAACAGGACTGGAAAGTGCTGGAACAAAGACTAAAGGTGGATTATATGTTTGTCTAACCTCTTCTTTTTTAAAATTATTTTGAAAAATTTGAGGTTTGATATCTGTTGATGCAAGATTTAGCCAGAAATTCTGATATCAATTTAAAACAATTATTTACCTATATTTCAATATTTCTTTCAACTGCTGTGTTCATTTGATCTTTATCTTCTGTCACAATGACTTTATAGCACCACTTAAGTATTTCTCCATTATGTAAAGCAGATGATCTTGTGTTCTAATTGCCCTTTATTCCTGATCAATCATCCACTTTTCTGTCCTTCAAAAATTTTTGTTATTGCTTTTACGAGAGACGTACTTTAGGGATCATTTTTTATTTCAGATGTAGGTTCCCCGTGGTCCCTAGTTGTGTATTGTCCCATTTTTGGACAGATTTGATAAAAAAGATAAAAACAAGCAATAAAGTGTCATCTTGAAGTTGACAGTAATAGATGTTGTTGCTTTTTCTTGAGACGTATCACATGAACAATTCTCAAATTTTGTATTTAGGTTCCACTTGGTCCCTATTTGTGAATTGTCCCATTTTGGGACAGAATGGCCGACGAGCAACAATCTTGCATTTTCACAATAAGATGAACTGTAAAGATATTTCTTAAGTTTAATATATGAGTATACCTCTTTATTCCTTGTTGTGAATTATCCAATGTTTTGATTGATGGAAAGAACAAAATGGCTGACAGGTGGCCATCTTGGATTTTGACTTTCAAAGATTGTTAACACTATTTCATAAAAAGTAAAGAATGGATATACCTCAAATTTCATAGGAATATTCCACTTGGCCCCAGGTTGTCCTCATTCCATTTTGGGACTGATCAGAAAAGTAAAACGGCTGACAGGTGGCCATCTTGGATTTTCACATTCAAAGATTGTTAACCCTCAAATTTCATAGGAATAATCCACTTGGCCCCAGGTTGTCCTCATTTCATTTAGGGACTGATCAGAAAAACAAGATGGCTCACAGGTAGCCATCTTGGATATTACAAAAAAGTTTGTTGCCCTTTCTAGAGAAGCACTGGATGGGTCTTTCTTTAATTTCATTTATAGGTTCCCATGGGTGCTAAGAACCCTTTAGGATCTCTTGGTGTTATTTTAATTTTTTTTATTCTATGTACATGTACATTTATATTCATAATAATATAGGTACAGACATTTTAGAATTTAAATGGTTATTTTTAAAGATGTCATCCAGTGAAGTTTGTCGACAGTCTGCTTCTCTAAGACAAATGAAACAAGAAAACACAGGTCTTCAGGAACAGATCCGAAACCTGCAGGACAGGTAAGAAACTCACAAACTTTCAGGAGCAGGTCCGGAATCTCCAGGGTAGGGAAGGTGACTTTGTTTCTAGATGTTCCTCACCACAAACCTTAAACACATGATTTCATTGATGTTAATTATGGCTACATAGGAAGATACTGGTAAACAATCACAGATATGACATCTGTAAACCAATTATCCCTGATATGTGTCACAACCAGGTTGCCCTGAACTTGAACATGTGTTTTAACTAGGTAACCTTGAACTTTGACATATGTGTCTTAACAGTAACACTAAACTTGGACCCGTATTTCTACCAGGTAACCCTGAACTTGGACACATGAGTTTCAACCAGGTAACCCTGAACCTGGACACATGTTTCTCAACCGGGTAATCCTGAACTTTAACACATGTGTCTCAATCAGGTAACCCTGAACTTGGACACATGTGTCTTAACAAGGAAACCCTGAATTCGGATATATTTGTCTCCACCAGGTAACCCTAATCTCGGACACATGTGTCTCAACCAGGTAACCCTGATCATGGCCTATAAACTTCACTCAAAGCTATTAAAAAATGGCACTGGAGATCCATGTGTGTATTGATGAACCTTCTAAGTACGTTGCTATGTTGATGATGTCAGAACATCAGACACGTGGTTGTATCCTTGGTTTCCATCTTGCTACAAGAATACACATCAAAGTTCACACACACCACATCAGATTATGGTCGCAGGATGCGTAGACAACAGATCATGAACAGCTTTCCAATCTCACTAAACTCTTGACTCCTAATGCATCTCAATAGTACTACAGTCTGTGACTTACCGGTACAATAGGAATTGTGACATGAAAATATGATAATTTACTACCTAATTGCTGTCAGGGAAGATATATAAGACAACCAGCAGAAAGCTGTCTTCTCGTTGTGACAAAGGAATGGAATCAAGACATTGATTTCACCTTTCCCAAGGCAGCTATGCCCAGTATTAACTGGATTTACATATGTTTCTCAGAAAAAATAAGTACTATATAAAATGATTTCATTGTTTGTGAAAAAATGAAGTTTTTGCGGATTTTTAGAATTGGCAAAATCATTCATATTGACTTAAGATTTGTACACATCTTCCATTTGATAAAGACGTAAAACACTTTTTCTTTTTATCTCTTTCATTTGGGTTTGTTGTTAATAGTATTTGCAATTTTTGAAACCAAGCTAATTTAATCAGTAAAAAATAAATAAAAAAAGATCAGGAGAAACACAATTTGGAAGAATCATTTTGTTTCATATCAAGTGTTTAAGCATTTATTTAAATGAGATCTTCTTTGTCACAGAATCAACCACTTAGAGAGAGACAACAACCAGAAAAGATCTCTGATTGAGGATACAAGAAATAAGTTACGAATCGCACAGGACAACTCTCGTACGGAATCCAACAGCATGGAAGAAATGGAAACACGAATCAAACTGTTACAGGAAGGTGCTGATAGGTCACGGATACAGGTTTGTTTGTTTGTAGATCATTACCTGGGTAATGTAACACTGATTCTATCTTACTGAACTATTGTAGGATAGGTAGCAAATAAATTAAAATGTTTTTGAAGAACAGTTATATTCAGATTTTAACTCTGTTTTGTTTGGGTGATCATGAATGATGTCCCTTGACATACAAAATTTGCATATGATAGTCCATTTGACAAACTCATTTCGATGTGATTTTTCCAATGTTACAAATTTGTGTGCGGAATAATTCCTTGAAATGTCCTACAAACATGGAGATCATGTTTTTAATAGAAATAAATGCAGACCAATTAATAATCTTGTTAAGTCGTCTCAGCTCATAATTTTTACCTTCTGTCAATCAATGACCTAGTTCTTGTATTTTCTTGGAGATTGCAAAGTTAATATAGGAAACACAACTCATCAGAGAGGAGGTCGATGCCTTATGACGTTAGATATATAGATTTACCTAAAATACATTGTAAACATTATGCTACTGAGAATCTTGTACTTATCTTTGTTAGATGATTAAAAGGTATTCAGGAATGTAAGGAATGCTATAGAGAAATTCATTACGATATTTATCCTACATTAAGCCATGTGGACAAACACATTACTCTGTTTCAAGTAGCGTGATGTGTTTGATAATGACCTCAGAGGACAAACACATTATTCTGGTTCGAGGAGGGTGATGTGTTTAACACATGACCTCAGAGGACAAACATACCGCTTCTGATTCAAATACAGAAGTGTGTTTACTACAAGACAATGATACAGGATTTACTGAAATGTCAACTGAACTACATTAGATGTTACTTGACGTATCAGAAGACGTATCTTTTGCCAACTGAATACCTTACTGTATATCTAATATCGTTATCTAATCCTTATTTCTTTTGTTACAATCAGGCGGATTCTTTAAAAAAGAGGCTGAGCGCCATCACTCGAGAGAAGAAGGAATACGAAGACAGATTCCTTAAGGCACACAATGACCTTGAAAGGAAGGTGAGAGATCAAAGTACTTCTTGTATCATTAAAATAACATTCTTGTTTCATCTGTGACGAAAAGTTGTGGAAGAGAAAAAATGGAGTTACTTTTCATGGGCAGTGGTGAAGGCATTGTCATTTACATTTTACATTAAAATTTTTATTTTGGATCTTTTGCTCAGAAAGTGCATTTTTAACCAAATCTGGTATATAGCTAGATCACTTAGTGGACACCTCGACACAAATAAAATAGTCAGGTGGTTCAGAAAATTAGGGATTAAAATATCTACCAAACAAGTTTTATTTTCTATCCATGGGAAGAGTGAAATCTTTTGGTAAAAAGGTTATATATATTTTTAAAATTTAAGAATTTATAAACTTTTCACTTCTTGTTTCACAATGTATCAATATTTTCTTATGACAACATATCCGTGGTTTACATATCATTGATAAAAATTAACCTGAATATATTTCATGCTCCTGAAAATTTGAGTGGGGAGCATGTATTTGCTGCTTTGTCCATCCATATGTTCATCCATCTTTCCATCTGTCCTTTCATGTCTGGAGCGTAACTTTGCCCACAATTAAGCAAGGATCATGAAACTAGGTGTATACTAAGGCCCCTCCTACCACAGAGTTATTGCCTTCTGTTCAAATTTTGTGTCCAGAGCATAACTTTGCTTGTATTTACAAGAGGTTATTGAAACTTGATGTACACATTGATCACACTAAGGTAATGTGCAGTGTAGAAAATTCAGGTCCATCAAAATTCCTTAATTACAGAGTTATTGCCCTTTGTAAAAAAATTTGGGTCCAGATAACAACTTTAAATTGCATGCATTTAATGTAGGATAAGGAAATTTATTTGTTTAAATTTCTTGTCTTGAGCATAACTTTGTTTTTAATCAAGCTCGGACCATAAAACTTTGTGTATACATTGGTCATGCAAAAAGGATGTACCCCTTAATTACAAGGTTAATGTACCCCTATTTTATAGAATAGTATTGGTGTTATATTTTGTATGTAAATATGGTATTTGAAGCATTTTCATTTCAAACTCATCAGGAAGGTATTTGTTTGTCTGGGCAATCAATCTCCCTTAAACAACCAAGGTCACTTTTTGAGAAGGGCTTTTCCTTGTAGGAGCTAGTGGCTAGCTCACTGAACCCCCCACCTACCCACCCCTACACACACACACCCACCCCACCCTCCAACACCAACACCAACACCAACACACTCACACACAAAATACACACACCAACACACACACTTACAAATACACAAGCACAAACACATACAAACACAAACAAAGGAGTAGCTGGGTATAGAATATAATTTATGTTAACAGACAAAATTGCTGATGGACTGTCAGAACAAGAAGATGGAGTTGGAGGATGCTGTTAGGGAATTAGAGGCCACAGCACAACAACAACTACGAGGACTTGCCAATCAGAGTGAGGCTGCTATTGAGGCTGCTCAGGATAAACTCGGTGTTGCCTATGGAAAAGTACAGATATATCAACAGTTTGTGAAGGTCAGCTGGTGTATATTTTCTGTGTCATTGATATAACAGGCACACATTTTATTCACTGCCATACAATCAAAGTTTCTATAAAGCTGTCAGGTGTTGCCTGCAAGTTAAACATCTGCACTTCCTTCATTTATACATTTTGTATAACATCATGAGCTGTATACTGAATAAAGAAAACATTTCATTGCATTTATGTTTGGTAAACACAAGTGTTTGTGAATGAGAGTCTTTGTACAATATTTGTCCTTTAAATGAACTGTAGTTTCCATGGACTTAAAGACAAATATCCAATTCCAAAAAATGTATGCAAAATGTTGTAGGGACTGGCAAATGACTTGGTTAGGAGGATAGGTCAGACACGATCCCAGCTGAAGGATATCCAGGTCAGGAAGGAAGAGGAAGAACAGATTCAGAGACAGATTCAGAATCAGAGTCATGGAAATGCTTCACTCCAGAAAGCACAAAGTTTGGCCCGAAACATCCTCAATCTTAGTCAGTCTGATCTGGATGACATAATGAGTGCTGATGGAGATTCAATAGCAGTAAGTTAAATCCTAGCCATGGATTTCTGGGGGTGGTACATAACCTCATGTCTTTTATGTGTTTAATCCTAGCCATGGATTTCTGTGTTAGAATCTCCTTCAGTGTGACTTACATAACCTCCTATCTTTTATGCGTTTAATCCTAGCCATGGATTTCTGTGTTAGAATCTCTTTCTGTGTGACTTACATAACCTCATGTCTTCATATGTGTTTAATCCTAGCCATGGATTTCTGTGTTAGAATCTCCTTCAGTGTGACTTACATAACCTCATGTCTTCATATGTGTTTAATCCTAGCCATGGATTTCTGTGTTAGAATCTCCTTCAGTGTGACTTACATAACCTCATGTCTTTTATGCGTTTAATCCTAGCCATGGATTTCTGTGTTAGAATCTCCTTCTGTGTGACTTTCATAACCTCATGTCTTTTTTGTGTTTAATCCTAGCCATGGATTTCTGTGTTAGAATCTCCTTCAGTGTGACTTACATAACCTCATGTCTTTTATGCGTTTAATCCTAGCCATGGATTTCTGTGTTAGAATCTCCTTCAGTGTGACTTACATAACCTCATGTCTTTTATGCGTTTAATCCTAGCCATGGATTTCTGTGTTAGAATCTCCTTCTGTGTGACTTTCATAACCTCATGTCTTTTTTGTGTTTAATCCTAGCCATGGATTTCTGTGTTAGAATCTCCTTCAGTGTGACTTACATAACCTCAAGACTTTTATGTGTTTAATCCTAGCCATGGATTTCAGCATTAGAATTTCCTTCTGTGTGACTTACATAACCACATGTCTTCATATCTACATGCAATACATTGTTGCACTGGAAAATACTTACTTTTATTTTTATAGAGAAGTTTGTTTTGAAATTTGGTTACACTCAGTAGTACAAGTGGTTTACACTCAATAGTATGTGTGGTTTACACTCAGTTGTACATGCGGTTTACACTCAGTAGTACATGTGGTTTACACTCAATAGTACGTGTGGTTTACACTCAGTAGTATATGTGATTTACACTCAGTAGTACGTGTGATTTACACTCAGGAGTAGGTGTGATTTACACTCAGTGGTACATGTGATTTACACTCAGTAGTACATGTGATTTGCACGCAGTAGTACATGCGATTTACACTCAGGAGTACAGGTGTTTTACACTCAGTAGTACATGCGATTTACACTCAGGAGTATGTGTGATTTACACTCAGTAGTACATGTGATTTGCACGCAGTAGTACATGTGATTTACACTCAGGAGTACAGGTGATTTACACTCAGTAGTACATGCGATTTACACTCAGGAATACAGGTGATTTACACTAAGTACTTTCTTTTACAGGAAAGTGACATTAGTACAGATAGAAGACTTGACAAGAAATGGACCAAAAAATGTGAAAAACTCATGGCTGGAAAGGTGAGAGAATTTAAATAATGATCTTGGTATGTTTTTTCGTCTAGCTGAAGAATCATATCTGAATCAAACTGATGTTATTGTATATCTGATCCTAACTTACTGGATGTATTGATGATATCTCTGTCAGTTATGTATTTATTTTAATGATCCATTGCATTTGTTGTGATATATTCTGTCTTTCTGTGATTTATTTGTGTAGTGTATTCTGTGATTTATTTGTGTAGTATATTCTGTGATTTATTTGTGTAATATATTCTGTGATTTATTTGTGTAGTGTATTCTGTGATTTATTTGTGTAGTATATTCTGTGATTTATTTGTGTAGTATATTCTGTGATTTATTTGTGTAGTGTGTTCTGTGATTTATGTGTGTAGTATATTCTGTGATTTATTTGTGTAATATATTCTGTGATTTATTTGTGTAATATATTCTGTGATTTATTTGTGTAGTGTATTCTGTGATTTATGTATGTAGTGTATTCTGTGATTTATGTGTGTAGTGTATTCTGTGATTTATTTGTGTAGTATATTCTGTGATTTATTTGTGTAGTGTATTCTGTGATTTATGTGTGTAGTGTATTCTGTGATTTATCTGTGTAGTGTGTTCTGTGATTTACTTGTGTAGTATATTCTGTGATTTATTTGTGTAGTGTATTCTGTGATTTATGTGTGTAGTGTATTCTGTGATTTATCTGTGTAGTGTGTTCTGTGATTTACTTGTGTAGTATATTCTGTGATTTATTTGTGTAGTATATTCTGTGATTTATTTGTGTAGTGTGTTCTGTGATTTATGTGTGTAGTGTATTCTGTGATTTATTTGTGTAATATATTCTGTGATTTATTTGTGTAATATATTCTGTGATTTATTTGTGTAGTGTATTCTGTGATTTATGTATGTAGTGTATTCTGTGATTTATGTGTGTAGTGTATTCTGTGATTTATTTGTGTAGTATATTCTGTGATTTATTTGTGTAGTGTATTCTGTGATTTATGTGTGTAGTGTATTCTGTGATTTATCTGTGTAGTGTGTTCTGTGATTTACTTGTGTAGTATATTCTGTGATTTATTTGTGTAGTGTATTCTGTGATTTATGTGTGTAGTGTATTCTGTGATTTATCTGTGTAGTGTGTTCTGTGATTTACTTGTGTAGTATATTCTGTGATTTATTTGTGTAGTATATTCTGTGATTTATTTGTGTAGTGTGTTCTGTGATTTATGTGTGTAGTGTATTCTGTGATTTATTTGTGTAGTGTATTCTGTGATTTATGTGTGTAGTATATTCTGTGATTTATTTGTGTAATATATTCTGTGATTTATTTGTGTAATATATTCTGTGATTTATTTGTGTAGTGTATTCTGTGATTTATGTATGTAGTGTATTCTGTGATTTATGTGTGTAGTGTATTCTGTGACTTATTTGTGTAGTATATTCTGTGATTTATTTGTGTAGTGTATTCTGTGATTTATGTGTGTAGTGTATTCTGTGATTTATCTGTGTAGTGTGTTCTGTGATTTACTTGTGTAGTATATTCTGTGATTTATTTGTGTAGTATATTCTGTGATTTATTTGTGTAATATATTCTGTGATTTATTTGTGTAGTGTATTCTGTGATTTATGTATGTAGTGTATTCTGTGATTTATGTGTGTAGTGTATTCTGTGATTTATTTGTGTAGTATATTCTGTGATTTATTTGTGTAGTGTATTCTGTGATTTATGTGTGTAGTGTATTCTGTGATTTATCTGTGTAGTGTGTTCTGTGATTTACTTGTGTAGTGTATTCTGTGATTTATTTGTGTAGTGTATTCTGTGATTTATTTGTGTAGTATATTCTGTGATTTATTTGTGTAGTGTATTCTGTGATTTATGTGTGTAGTGTATTCTGTGATTTATTTGTGTAGTGTATTCTGTGATTTATGTGTGTAGTGTATTCTGTGATTTATTTGTGTAGTGTATTCTGTGATTTATGTGTGTAGTGTATTCTGTGATTTATTTGTGTAGTGTGTTCTGTGATTTATTTGTGTAATATATTCTGTGATTTATTTGTGTAGTGTATTCTGTGATTTAAGTATGTAGTGTATTCTGTGATTTATGTGTGTAGTGTATTCTGTGATTTATTTGTGTAGTATATTCTGTGATTTATTTGTGTAGTGTATTCTGTGATTTATGTGTGTAGTGTATTCTGTGATTTATGTGTGTAGTGTGTTCTGTGATTTACTTGTGTAGTATATTCTGTGATTTATTTGTGTAGTGTGTTCTGTGATTTATTTGTGTAATATATTCTGTGATTTATCTGTGTAGTGTATTCTGTGATTTATTTGTGTAGTGTATTCTGTGATTTATTTGTGTAGTGTGTTCTGTGATTTATTTGTGTAATATATTCTGTGATTTATCTGTGTAGTGTATTCTGTGATTTATTTGTGTAGTGTGTTCTGTGATTTATTTGTGTAATATATTCTGTGATTTATTTGTGTAGTATATTCTGTAATTTATGTGTGTAGTGTATTCTGTGATTTATGTGTGTAGTATATTCTGTGATTTATGTGTGTAGTGTATTCTGTGATTTATTTGTGTAGTGTATTCTGTGATTTATGTGTGTAGTGTGTTCTGTGATTTATTTGTGTAGTGTGTTCTGTGATTTATTTGTGTAGTATATTCTGTAATTTATGTGTGTAATATATTCTGTGATTTATTTGTGTAATATATTCTGTGATTTATTTGTGTAATATATTCTGTGATTTATTTGTGTAATATATTCTGTGATTTATTTGTGTAATATATTCTGTGATTTATTTGTGTAATATATTCTGTGATTTATTTGTGTAATATATTCTGTAATTTATTTGTGTAGTATATTCTGTGATTTATTTGTGTAGTGTATTCTGTGATTTATTTGTGTAGTGTATTCTGTGATTTATGTGTGTAGTGTATTCTGTGATTTATGTGTGTAGTGTATTCTGTGATTTATGTGTGTAGTGTGTTCTGTGATTTATGTGTGTAGTGTGTTCTGTGATTTATTTGTGTAGTGTATTCTGTGATTTATTTGTGTAGTGTATTCTGTGATTTATTTGTGTAGTGTATTCTGTGATTTATGTGTGTAGTGTATTCTGTGATTTATTTGTGTAGTGTATTCTGTGATTTATGTGTGTAGTGTGTTCTGTGATTTATGTGTGTAGTGTATTCTGTGATTTATGTGTGTAGTGTGTTCTGTGATTTATTTGTGTAGTGTATTCTGTGATTTATTTGTGTAGTATATTCTGTGATTTATGTGTGTAGTATATTCTGTGATTTATGTGTGTAGTGTATTCTGTGATTTATGTGTGTAGTGTATTCTGTGATTTATGTGTGTAGTATATTCTGTGATTTATGTGTGTAGTGTATTCTGTGATTTATGTGTGTAGTGTATTCTGTGATTTATGTGTGTAGTGTATTCTGTGATTTATGTGTGTAGTGTATTCTGTGATTTATGTGTGTAGTGTATTCTGTGATTTATGTTTGTAGTATGATATAATATGTTTGTTGCTGTGATTTGTTTGTAGATGACAGTTTCGTCTGAAATAAGATATTTTTACTGGTTAAGGAATGACTGTAATATTGTTTTATATTTAGGATGACTTTGCCCTTCCACTGATAGAACTGTTCGTTCAGAAGATTGAGGAACGCAGTGAGCTTTTACTAAAACTTCAACAGACAGCAAGCTGAGAGAGAATGCAAAGAATCCCATCAGAGAGCAAGCTGAGAGAACACGCACAGAATCCGCATCAAATGGCCAGCAGAGAGAGATCACATGATTACTCTTAAATAGAACAATAGGAATCTCAAAATAACTTAAATAGTGTTCTATAGACAAGTATTTAATGGAACAGTTTACTATTAAGAGATCTAGATCACATGTCCACAGGTGACCTCATGTAGAACACTTGCTGATCCACAGGTGACCTCATGTAGAATACTTGCTGATCCACAGGTGACCTCATGTAGAACATAGATATCCAGGTTATCTTAACTTTTGGTAGATAATCTGTACCTTATCATAGATTTCAATTTTTTTTACGATTTTTGCATATTCCAATATTACAGGAACTAGGCATTAGGATATTTAATACATCATGATTTTGTCTGGTTGTATTTCAGTTCGATCTTTCTAGAGCATATAGTTATAAATGATATACTTCTTGTAACCTCTCCTGTATTTGGTGTAGTTATGTTGGTAAAATTTAGAACACATATAGTTTTCTATGTTCAATTAATTCCGTCCCAGTCCTTTTGTCACATCAGTGCTGTGTTTTTTTACAAGAGAAGACTTGTTTTTAAGTTTGAATAAGGAGAAGATACAGTTTGATATTGTATATATTTTATTTATCAAATGTAATATCTATAATATTAAATATTTGTATTTAATTTTTGGTTTTCTTTCTTGGTTCTAACTTAGATAACAAAACTTGGTTTTGTACTGGTGTAGGGATTAATCATTATACTGAATAAATAACCAGACACAAACATTAAAGAGGTGATACTGGACAAAACTACAAAACTACAAAATATCACATAGAAAAGAAACAAAAACTTAGCATGTAATCACAGACTTTGACTTATAACACAAGAATATCACTGACTTTGACTAATGACACAAGAATATCACTGACTTTGACTAATGACACAAGAATATCACTGACTTTGACTAATGACACAAGAATATCAAAGACATTGACTTCTAACACAAGAATATCACTGACTTTGACTAATGACACAAGAATATCACAGACATTGACTTAAAACACACGAATATCACAGACTTTGACTTATAACACAAGAATATCACTGACTTTGACTAATGACACAAGAATATCACTGACTTTGACTAATGACACAAGAATATCAAAGACATTGACTTCTAACACAAGAATATCACTGACTTTGACTAATGACACAAGAATATCACAGACATTGACTTAAAACACAAGAATATCACAGACTTTGACTTATAACACAAGAATATCACTGACTTTGATTAATGACACAAGAATATTACTGACTTTGACTAATGACACAAGAATATCACAGACTTTGACTAATGACACAAGAATATCACAGACTTTGACTAATGACACAAGAATATCACAGACTTTGACTAGTGACACAAGAATATCAAAGACGTTGACTTATAACACAAGAATATCACTGACTTTGATTAATGACATAAGAATATCACAGACTTTGACTAATGACACAAGAATATCACTAATTTTGACTAATGACATAAGAATATCACAGACTTTGACTAATGACACAAGAATATCACAGACTATGACTAAAAACACAAGAATATCAAAGACATTGACTTATAACACAAAAATATCACAGACTTTGACTAATGACACAAGAATATCACAAACATTGACTAATGGAACAAACCATCTCACAAATTGACTAATAATACAAGAACATCTCAAACTTAATCATTTTCAAAAATTAAAAATTTTACTTTTGAAACAAAGATATCACTGAATTTCAGTAACATTGCAATGATGCGAAAAACTTTTACTAACAACACGCAAAAAATGCATACTACTTTTTTTACTTCTGATACAAAAAGGTTTTGACCAGTTTTCTGAAAAGGTCAGACTTTTGAGTCAGATGCAATATGTGGCATTATGCAGTTAAGTGAATTAATATGAATTCCCCTATTCATGTATACTTTAATGTCATGGAGTCAAATGTGTTAAAATCTTCAGACAGCTTCTGAACACCAGAACAGAAATAATCTGAGGCCATATCAGGCTAGTCACATGCTGGAATGAAAGGTGTCAAGTGTCTAGTAAATGATCTAACCACCGTCCAAGGCCACAGGGATCAAATGTGTCTACAAACACATTCTTCGGAATAGAAAGGACATGACGTTTTAGGGGGAAAACCAGCCTCATTGTTGCAAGAATGAACTGTGACAACAAATGACAATTATAAACATATAACAGATCGGTTATACAGGTCAAACGGGATTCCTGTCTTCACAAATACTCCACATCTAAGGGAAAACCTTTTTATGGAAGTTACTTTGTCATAAACTCCTTCCTAGTTAAATATCTTGTTGAGATCTTTTCGACCTACTTTTATATCTTGTTGAAGTCTTTCCTTCCTCGCATAATATCTTGTTGAGGTCCTTTCTTCCTATTATATCTTGTTGAGGTCTTTTCTCCTTGGTTAAATATCTTGTTGATGTCTTTTCGTCCTAGTTAAATATCTTATTGATGTCTTTTCGTCCTAGTAAAATATTTTGTTGATGTCTTTTCGTCTTGGTTAAATATCTTGTTGATGTCTTTTTGTCCTAATTAAATATCTTGTTGAGGTCTTTTCCTCCTCGTTAAATATCTTGTTGATGTCTTTTCGTCTTGGTTAAATATCTTGTTGATGTCTTTTCGTCCTAGTTAAATATCTTGTTGATGTCTTTTCATCCTCCTTAAATATCTTGTTGAGGTCTTTTCTTCCTAGTATGGTATCTAGTCGGGATCCTTTTTCACTCACTTACTACCATTTGAGGGTTTGTCTCCAAGCTTTGGTGTCTTTTTATGTTATCTCGCGCTGCTTTTATGACATGATAGACGTGACTGCTCAGTTTTTTGTGTATTCTTCATGCATTTTATGGTGCCTTCACAAGGTTCGTGTTTTGGTGTTTGTATTATGCCATTCTACCCTCCTTACTCTTGTGTAAGGTAGGATCTGTGGTCGCCATGCTGATCTTTTGTAATAACATACTTAATCATTGTTATTGACATAGTAAACACATGCCCATGTCGTATGCATCTGTGTCTAGCCCATTTATCTTGGATTTACCCTTAAACTACCTTTTTACTACCTTTTTTTAGATCTGATGGTGACGATCATGTACCAGTTGTACACAAAGATAACTACTGTTGTCATAGTGGTAATATAATAATTCATTACATAGTCCTCTATCGTTATTAAGTGTCTGACTGGTGGGATGTAGAATAGCAGTATATTATTGTATTATTGAAATGCACTTTGACTACACCCTTTTAAAGAAAAAAAATATTCTGATTATGAAAATAACTTTACTGATAATCGTCAGGGTCGTACAGAGAGGTAACGGGGTAAATGAGAGAGAGGTTCGTTTATAGACTATATGAGTGGTTGATTGGATACCGTAACATCTAATGCCACTGATAGAACGGCTACCTAAAAAAATGTCGGTATGAAACGGTTATCGTTATATACAGTTTTACTGATGGAATGGTGACCAGTTATCGTTATATACAGGTTTAGTTATGGAATGGTGACCAGTTATCGTTATATACAGGTTTAGTGATGGAGTGGTTACCAGTTATCGTTATATACAGGTTTAGTGATGGAATGGTGACCAGTTATCGTTATATACAGGTTTAGTGATGGAATGGTGACCAGTTATCGTTATATACAGGTTTAGTGACGGAACGGTGATCAGTTATCGTTATATACAGGTTTAGTGATGGAATGGTGACCAGTTATCGTTATATACAGGTTTAGTGACGGAACGGTTACTAGTTATCGTTATGTACAGGTTTAGTGATGGAACGGTTATCGTTATATATAATTTTAGTGATGGAAAGAATATCGGTTATCGTTATATACAATGATTGACATCGTTCAGCTATACTCGGAGGCTCAAATTGTTATGGTCAAATGACAAACACTACCTTATTTACTTCTATTCGATTTAATGTACACGGTCTTCTAATACCATCACTTGTGAAAACGTGTCTTGGCAGAATTGACGCCACAAATGACTAACCGACGAGTATCCTTGATTTTCAGAAAGGAAATAACTCGAGATAGTTTACCTTCCACGAGTGCAATACATTGATCACCTTAATCGTTGTCTAAGGTTTTTTGGCTGGTGACTTTTCAGTTCTGGACGGATACGATTCTTCTGATTCATCAATCACATTTCTTGTCCAACGTTTCCATTCGAGCTGCATGGATATTTTAACATTAGCCGTATATAGTTAGATAATATCTCTTTAATGTAACATATTTATTGTATAACTCTACACATGAAGTGACTTTCCCATGTGTTTATTTCTGGTGTTTGCAGATACGTTCATCATAACAAAACCATCACCGTTTCAAGTGCAACAGTAATTTATAATTCTCTGACCAGGAAATACATTCTTACCTATCAAAACACGAATCTGTTTTTATTGATGTCAAGAGCTTTCAAAAAATATTTTATATCTTTTATCAAATGCATACTACTTAAGGACAACAAGTAGGTCCCTGCATGATCAGTGGGTTCTGTTTATGTCTTTTACTGAGGGTACATTGTATAGACATAAATAGATCTGATGTTACTATTGTAATACCTGAGATCTTGATAAGTTCTGTACTGTCTTTCCTGACACTCGTCCTCGTCCTCGTCCTGAACTTGACTGATGTAAAAGATAGCCATGCGTGATTTAAGCACTTGTGTATTGGTAATTTAATCCACTGAATCTTGACTCAGGTAAATGGAACAGGTGAGTGAATCACATAGACGCTATGTACAATACATCCAACCGACCTCTCAGTTACACAGGAAAAGTATACGTAAATAAAATGTGCGGGTCGATACAACAAACAAAAAGACCCAAAGTTCTCCGCATTGAAATTAAGACATTTAACTCTACCAAACAATGACATTTTCTTCTTGCAGGCTTTTCACGACACTTAAGATTGACTTGAGGTCGACTAAGTCGTGATCGCGAATTTACATTCGCATGATAATGAATTTTGAATTTAACATTTTTTTTTGTCATGTACAATGAGACTGTGAATATAAACCACTTAACCAAATAAAGATATAAAGGTATAATCAACGAACGTTATCTTACAGAGAAATAGGTAGTTGTATGTTTGGCACTGTGTGTGATGATATATAAGGTTCACCAATGATTATTCGCACGACATAAACTCTGACCTGATATGTTGTCGACAGGGCAACATGATCACGCAGATTTGCATACCGTAGTCTCGAAATGACTGGCCAATGAGATATCGGCATTTATGAAGTATCATTGACAGATTACTGCTTTTAAAAACCCGGTAGACGAAGACTTTCAGTTGAAGAACTTGTTTCTCTTCTCCGTATCACAACAATCGTTACAGTACAGATACGTGAAGTGGTAGTGTGACCTGATGTATCATCATCATGGTAGATACAAACAAAATTGTGGCTATATTCGTGGTTTTTGGAATTACATTTTTGTTTGGTGTAACGCCGATATGGCTCCTAAAGGTGTTGTCAAGCAAAATGGAAAATCTGTCTAGGCTGCAGTACATAGTTAGTTTGACAAACTGCTTCGCGGGTGGTATCTTTTTTGGCACGGCAATCCTCCATCTCATTCAGGAGTCAATGGAGATAGTTGAAG